TGCTAAGCTCCCGATCCCACCCATCGCACACCAGTTCTACTCTAACCCAGGAGATCAGCTGGACATGACCCACAGTCCCTCCGCCTCGCCCCCTTCCGAGACCCGTCTCAAGACCCTCTTCTTCGGCAGTGCCTTCGGTCACCTTCCTAACCCTACCCCCCCCCCTTCACCTCCACCCCCAGTCCCAGTCCGGGTCCAAATCCCTGACTGTCCAGCGTTTTGGGACGTCCTTCCGACACGAAAGGCGCTGCGCAGATGGCATTTTGCGGCTGAGTTACCGCAAGTCCTGAGCAGCTCCCTGAGATGTTCCGTCCTCCCTCCCGGCCGTCTCATCGAACGCAAGGATTATTATTTATTATTGCGGCCCGAGCTGTCGATGACAAGCGGAGGAGGAAACGAGGGTTGTCTGGACGAGGGTTTGGAATGAGCAGCACAGGAAGAGCTTTGATTTTTATCCGTCACAATATCTTCCCACTCCACGTCCTGCAAACATCCTTCAATCGGATGCTCATTAAGGCAGAAAACGAGACGTGTTGCCAACGGCCCCCGGATAATTGAAGGTTGTTTGACAGAATCCAACCTCTCGCCTCCTTGCCTTCAACGCGCAGAAACCCCGAGGAGGCAGACGAGTGAATCAGCCACTGGTGGACATCCCATTAGCAAAGACGGCCATTGTCCACAGACACCTCTCATCTATTTCCTTTTTACACTACAACAGTCGCCACGACTGGTGGTGGGGTGGGGTGGGGGGGAACACTCATACGAGAAAAAGCACAGCCACTTACACTTTGAGCCTCTCAGCTCCTACCGGCTTACAGTCCTGCGTGAAGGGGGCCCTGTGTAATCACAAGTTGTTGTCGTCGTTCGGTCACCCTCCTACTCCTACCCACCACCCTCCTCCTGATCCCAACCCCCAACTCGGGTCCAAATCCCTGAGCTTCCAGCGCCTCTCCATCGTCCTCCCAACGCGAGAGGTTCTGCGTAAATGTCATGTGTTGCTGCTGCTGCTGTTGTTACCCATTCAAGTTCTCGATGCTTTTAAAAGCAGTGACCTTCACGTCTGACACAACGCCTTTCGCGCCGGGAGGATCTCTCACAGGATTCCTCGCGAAGCGACTGGGGTGTTGGAGGGGGCAACAAATTGGCAGCCCAATTGCACACAGCCCCCGTCCCACAAACAAACAAGCGTTGGGATCAGGAGGGGTGAAGGGCAGGAGTAGGAGGGCGGAGGGCCGATCGAAGGAGAGGGTCCTGAGATGGGCCTCGATGGAGGCGAGGGAGAGGGGGAGGCGAAGTGACTGTGGGATGGAGTTCCAGAGGGTGGTGGCAGAGAGGCTGAAGGCCCGACCGCCAATGGCGGAGCAGGTCGGAGCCGGGTGAGCGGACAGGATAACCGAGGCGGCTTTCGGACCCATTTCTCCCAGCCCACAACCACCCCCCACCACCACCCACCACCCTCCACCCTCCGCCCGACCCGAGTTGGGGAGTCAACCGAAAATTCAACAAAATTCAACGAAGCCAAAAAGTACCCATTTCCCATCAGTCAGTCAGTCAGTCAGTCAGTCGTTTAAAACAAATAAAAAGCCTCAATGAAATTCCGCGACTGCTCTTAAGGCGAAGGACAGGAAACCAACTCCTGGCGTGCTGCGAGCTACTTTGCAGGACTCGTCTCTCCTCCGGCCGCGCTAAGAGTCACAGCAATCAGCGGCCAGGAAATAGCAAGACGCTGGAAAGAAAAATAAACTGGCGTTCGTACACCGAACGGGTGTCAGTTCGTCAGCATTATCTGCCCAGCCCAGCAAGGAGATGGTGACTCGAGCTCTGGAATGAAATTTCCTTTTATTTTTATGGGCGGGCGTGGAAATCTGCCGCGGCAGACAATTGGACTGAAATAAAACGGCAAAGAAAAATAACTGAGTGTTTCTTCCCATCGTGATGACAGCTCCGCAGGAAACGAGGAGAGAAAGGGAGAGAGAGAGAGAGAGAGACAGACAGACACAGCCAGAAAGATTTTTTTTTAATAGATCTCGCCGAAAACTTTTTGCCGTCTCTTTAAACAATTGTGGATGGGGTTCGGGCTCTTGCGGAAAAAAAAAATAATTTACCCCCTTTTTTTTTTTCCTGGCGTTTAATCGGCGGAAAGCGCTTTAAAAACCAGGCCCCGCGGAGCTGCTCGGACTCGCGAGCCTCGCTCAAGGCGGTGGCGTCCTCTCCTCCGAGTCAGAAGGTCGCGGGTCCGAGCCCCCCGGATAAATTGTGCCGACAATCCCCCAAATAAATCACTCCGCGGGTGTATTGCGGGCGGCTGCCGTGCGCAATTGGCCGCCGCGTTTCGCCCGCGAGACACACAGCCGGTCCACTTTGCAGCGTGTCCCGCGAGGCGCGTCGAGACGTCCGAAAGACGCGATAAGGCGCCGTGTCGAACGCGAGGCTTGTCGTTTACCCGCGCAGGTTTCCCATTTCTCTTTGAAACGGGCCCGTTTCGGAGCCACCCGCGTTCAAGCACCGAACGCGGCGATTTCGGAGCCGCAGCGAGCTGTCCAGACGCGTTAAAGAGAGACCGGTCTCGGGGCTAAGGCTGGGTAGAATTTCACGGCCTCCGCACGCAAAGTACAAGAAGCCGGGACGCTAAAGAGTGGTGGGGACACGAACGCGCACACTCGCTCGCGCACACGCAGGCCCGGGCTCGCGTGTAGACTGACACACATTCAGGCACACTACAGACGCACACACACAGATACACACACACGCGCACACACTCAGATACACACGCACACAAGACTCACAGATACACACACACGCACACCACCCACTCAGATACGCACACCACCCACTCGGATACACACACGCACACACACATACCACACACTCAGATACGCACGCGCACACACACACACACACACACACACACACGATACCTTGCACACACTCGGAATAAAATAATCCTTGCATTCGACACAGCGCCCGATCGCGGTCTTCGAGACGCCTCAAGGCGCTTCACGGCTTATACCGTCAAGCAAATCGACCGGATATCGTGTGGGCGAAACGCGGCAGCCAATGGCGCACAGCGGCGTCCCGCCACGAAACAGCCGTGGACCGCAGCGAGCAATATTTTTGTTGTTTCCTTTAGGTTTGATTACGACTTGGGATCCGATTGCCGAGACCGTCAACGGCATTTAATCACAATGCCACCGCATCCCACTGCAGTAACAACAGGATGCTTCGCTCACCATGTACTGCTGCTTTGCTGTGGCAGTTCAGCACCTTGGGCAGATCACAGAAGGAATATCAAACACCATCACAACGTCTAGAGCAACAATCTGTCCTCAGATTCCCCCGACGAGCCAAAACAGGAGGCATGAATTCCGGGCCCAAAATAAACCTTCCCCTCTCTCTCTCTCTCTCTCTCCCTCCCTCCCTCCCTCTCGCTCCTCGGTTTCCACCGATTAGGATCTGATTTCACATCAATTCCATTTAGTCACGATTTTGCAAAGGGCGTGGAATAAGAAAAACAAGAAGCGATTGCAAAAAAAAAAAAAAAAAATATCCGATTCACAAGCGAACAAAAAAAAAAAAAAATGTGAGTTCAAAAGATTTCGGCCCCGAGAACCTACAACAGGATAACTGGACGGTGTATCCCGTGAAGCGCTTCGAGACGTCTCGAAGACGTGATAAGGCGCTGTATCAAATGCCAGGATTATGAGCATTATTAGTAGTATTATAATAATCAGTCATGGAATTGGAAAAACAGTGCGTCTGACCAGCTATACCCTTGGCTTTTGGGTCACTCAGACATAATAAGCAGCTCATCCAAAGCTTCTCTCTGTTGGGTCCTCCTCCCACTCCAACCCCTGGACACTTTGGGGGTAGCTTTGGTCCCCACACCCCGCGCCCCCCGAACGGTCCTATAAATTTAAACAGAAGTCGCCGGGAAAACTCGGAACACTCAGCAGGTCAGGCAGCGCGTACGAGGAGAAGAAAAGTGAGTCGGAGGAGATAGTTTCAGGTCAATGGATGAAGAAAGGTCATCGACCTGAAAACGTCAACTCACTTTCCTCTCTCCATCGATGCCGCCTGACCCGCTGAGGCTTCTCCCAGCGACTTGTGCTTCTGTTTCGGATTCCCAGCGCCTGTCAGTACTTTGCCCGGAGCAGCGATTCCTCCCACTCCTGATAACTCTGCCCTAACAGTGGTCCTCACTGGGCAAACAGCGGGCAAGCTTGCCAGTCTGTGCTCTCAATGGGCAGACTATGCGGTTTTAGCTGGTTAGGTTTATCCCCCCCGCCCCACACCCCCCACCCAACACACACACCCTAAGGTGGCCTTAAAAAGAAAAACTTTGTGAAGACGTAATAAGGCGTCATATCAAATGTAAGGATAAATTAGGAGTTCCTCTACGGGCAAACAGTCTGAGATCAGCAACCCGGCAGAGAGACACAGAGACACCCACACACACCCCCAGACACACACACACTACACACAGAGAAACACAGACACACCCACACAGAAACACACGCACACCCCACACACACAGAAACACACGCACACCCCACACACACACACACACACACACACAGAAACACACGCACACCCCACACACAGAAACACACGCACACCCCCCCCCCCCCCCCCCACACACACACACACAGAAACACACGCACACCCCACACACACACACACAGAAACACAGGCACACCCACACACACCCCCCCAGACACCCACACACACACAAAATGGCTCAGACCTAAATAACGGCAGCACAAGGCACTTCATGACCGGTCAAAACTTCCGACAGCACAAGTATCAAATCCGCTCAGACAACAGAAATCTCTTGAATCGCCCCTTTGGCATTTTTTTGGGGGGTTTAAAAAATATTTTTTTTTATTAAGAAATCGGTTTTATTGGAGCCACTTTTTTCCCCCGCCCCCCAAAAAAAACACACACACTCGGGACGGGACGGGGGGAGAGAAAACACACACGCGCGCGCGCGCGCGCACACACACACACACACAGAAAAAAAAAAATAACTGAACAACTTCAGGACGAAATAAGGTTTTTGGTCAAGAGGATTTTAAAAAAAAATAAAAAGGGCGGGGGAGCTGGGGGGGGGGGGGGACTGCATAAATAGAAGGGTGGTAAAATCACATTAACCTCCACCCACTGCCCCCCCCACCCCTCCCCATCACATACACACAAACATCCCATATTTATTGCACTTCCAAGTAACGTAAACATTTAACTGTCTTGATGAGGAATCTGCTTCGTTTGGCTCAGGTCCATCCCATAATAATCAGTCTAGTGTTGAGAGCAAATTCCTGGGTTTGGCTCGAAAGATGAGGGGCGGGGGTTTGGGAGCGGGGAGGTGGGGGGGTCTCTTGCCCCGTCTCTCAGGTGCGAGGGTCTTCTCGTCTGTGTCTGTCGCTGTCTCGCCCCCTTCGGTCAGGACGGGAGAGGAGCATAAGGGCTCCCGGACAGTTTGGGAGTGGGTGTGAGAGTCTGGAGGGGGGTCGTTAGCATCAGTCACCGTTTGGGCCACAGCATCAATGTCCGCCCCTGAGGCTGATCCGTCCAGTGTTCCTTCAGCGCCCACCTCCCCTCTCGCTCTCTCTCTCTCTCCACACCTCACGCACTCACACGCACTCCGCTCTTCCATTCCTCCCAGAAGATCTTCCAATATCACACGTTCCTTTTGTTGGGGGACTTGTTCCCGTTGGCTGGGACACAGTATCTGGTAACCGGCAAAGGCAGTTTATCCAGGCCTGCGTCGACCGAGCAGAGATAGACACGGTGGTGGTGGTGGGGGGGGGGAAAGAAAAGAGAAACAAAATGCATTACATTTTTATTACAGCAATATTACTAATATTATTAATTATTACTGGTAATCCTTGCATTCGATACAGCGCCTGATCAAGCGCTCGAGACGTCTCAAAGCGCTTCACAGGATACATCGTAGAGCGAATTGGCTGTATTTTGTCGGCGAAATTTGCGCACAGCAGCGTCCGGGAAACAACCCTGAACTGTGCGGTTCATTTTATCTGGGGGATTGTTGGCCAAGGCATGTTGGGGAGGGGTGGGGGGGGCGAAGGGAGAAGAGACAGAGAGAGAGTGAGTGAGAAAGAAACTCCCTTCTCTTTTCCGACAGAGATCTTTAACGTCCACCTGAACAGCCGCAGACGAGGTCTCGGTTTACCGAGTTATCCAAAGAATAACGCACAGCGTTGCGTCGGGAGCATCAGCCTTAGACTCGCGAGGTCAAATTCCCCACTACCCCTACCCTCACCCTTCTCCCTGATCCAAACTCCACCCCCACCCCCCCCACCTTGGGTCCAAATCCCTGACTATCCAGCGCCTGGGGACGTCCTCCTGACGCGAAAGGCGCCGTCTAAATATCACGTCGTAGCGTGGATTTTGTAAGACTAGCGGAATCTTGGCCCGGGCGCAGGTTCTTTCGAGCGAAAGCACGGTCCATCACGGCTCCTGGCTCCCCCCCACCCCCCACCCTCTCCCGCTCGCGCTGATCTGATAAAACGCCAGACAGACGCACAATTGCTCAAAGTGACCGTCGATAAGATTATCAGAAAGCGCGAGAGAGAGAGAGAGAGAGAGAGAGGGAGGGAGAGAAAAGGGGAAAAAAAAACTTTTCTCTCTCTCCCTCTCCCTATCTCAGCCGTCAATCGGTCTCAGCGATCTGAGGCGGGCGATAAGTCGTCCGTTCACCCTTTGTTCCCTGGCGTTCAGAGATAAGTCGGGAGCTTTCGAGTCTTTTTGGCCCCCGTTGAAAAGCTAATCTCCCTGAATTACAACGTGCACCAGTTCAAGCGCGCCTTGAAGTGGGGGGGGTGGGGTTGGGGGGCAGGAGGGAGAGTGGGTGGGGGGAAGAACCGTCAGGTGAGAAGTCTTCGCTCGCTCACGCCAGATGCCCACCCCCCCACCACCACCACCCCGATTCCAAGGCTCCGTCACTTTAAGGGCCAGGGACTAACTCCGCGCGCGTTCGGTTGCCGCGTTTCGCGCACAGAAACGCACAGTCTCTGCGAAGCGACTTTCGAGACGTCCCCCAGCGGCGCGAGAAGGCGCCGTGTCGGACCCGGGGATTATTTATTATTAGAATTCTAGAGAGAGAGAGAGAAAAAAACAAGAAATTCCACCTGCAATCGTACTTGGGCGCTCTATCAAACGCGAGATTTATAAGGATAATAATCCTGGCATTTGACCCAGAGCCTCATCCCGTCTTCGAGACGTCTCAAAGCGCCTCAAAGTGTAGTGACTGCGTGTTTCGCGGGCGAAACGCCTTTAGAACTAGCGCTGGCCTTGATCTCAGGCTGTTGACGTGTCAGAGGGACGTCCAGCAAGAACGCGGGCGGCTACAGAGGTCTAATCAGCCTCTCGGGCACAGTCTCCGCTCGGCTCCTTATCTGGACCCGTCCCAGTGCCTTGGGTTGTGATACCAGTCGTCCTACACCCATTATATACAATTCAGCAACAATAGGAGATTAGAAACGAGCCCCAGGAGACCGAGACCTTGTTCGGCGACGTCCGTCTACCCACAGAGACCGGACTGAGATTTTACTCGGACACAAATGCTAATCAAGCCACGGACTGGAGAGAGAGAGAGAGAGAGAGAGGGGGGGGAGGGAGTGGCTCATTAACCCTTATACCACCACAGAGGTAAACTCTAAAGTGGGGGGGGGGGGGAAGGAAAAAGAGTAATTCCAGCTGGGTTTAGATCGACTCTGTTTAAGAGACTGAAACGCGTCGCGCTTTTAGAATTATTATCTACGCATTCGATGCAGCGTCTCAGCACGTCTTCGAGACGTCTCAAAGCGCTTCAGAAGGATTCACTGCGAAGCGAAGCGAATGGAACGGCGTACTTTGTGGTCCAAACGCGGCAGACAATTGCGCACAGCAGCGTCCCCACAAACAGCCGTGGATCGAGTGACCGGGTCATTATTTTTTTTTTGGGGGGGGGGGGGAGGGATTATTATCCCCGTAAAGCGATCTGCCAATCGACCAACAGCCTACTGACTCCTGGGTGAACGGAGGCGTGTGGAGTACTTGGAGGAAACTTGCCTAAGGTTTCGTCCTGCCGGGAATCAAGCCCGGATCCTCCCACCCGCCCTTTTTAAAGCTTCTCATAAGAACTTCGGGGTGGGGGGGGGGGGGGACGACACACAGCAGTGTCCCTGAACGAGGTGGGATTCGAACCCACAGCCTTCGGACTCGAGAGGCGAGAGAGAGAGCGAGCAAAGCGACAGACCCACCACCAGGCCTGGAGGTGGGTGACTCACCGAAGGCGTGGAGGAGCTCGGCTTGCACGGCCCGGGTGAATTTCTTGACCAGACACATCGCAGTCAGGCCGGCGAAGAGCATGTTGTACAGGAAGACGATGTAGAAGTTGCCCAACCAGTTGAACTGCCCAAATTCCCCGAGTAAGTCAAAGTTAGTGATACCTACAAACATAACACTGACATCAATTAAGCCGCGCTGGTCACTGTATAATAGTGACACATGGTCACTGCATAATAATAATAATAATAACCCTTGCATTGATATAGCGCCTTATCACTAAGAGGGAGAGAGGGAGACGCCTCAAAGCGCTGCACGAGATACTTTTTTTTGCGGGCGAAACGCGGCAGCCGACTGGGCCCAGCAGCGTCCACCCCCACAAACAGTTGTGGATTTTTGTTTGTTTGGGGTTGTGTGCTTTTTTTTAAAAAAAAAGGGATTCGTAGCCGGGCCCCGCTGTTGAGATTGTCTGCGTCTCGGAGCTGCGGTGTTGTCTTTAAGCCCAAAGTTGTATTTCAGTTGTATTTTCGACGAAAAAAAAGAGAAATATCCTCAATTTCCAGCAGTTTTTGTGCTGAGGTCAAAGTGGTCCATTTGTGTCGCAGGCTCACTGGTATCTGCTGCCACCTGGTCGCCGCTGGGTGTAAGTGACAGCTCACCTTCTCAATCCATCTCACACACACACACACACACAGAGAGAGGATACAGTTCAAGATCCTGGTCCTCACCTTCAAAGAACCTCCATGGCCTTGCTCTCCTCCCCAACCACCACCCCCACCAACCTGCCCGCTCCCTCCACTCCACTCGGCAGGCTCCGAACCCCTCCACGTCATCGGCGGTCAGGCCTTCAGCCCTCTCTGACCCCACACTTCCGAACTCCATCCCACAGTCCCTTGGCCTCGAACCCTCCTTCAAGGCACGTCTCAAGACCCTCCTCTCTTTGACAGCGGCGCCTTTGACCAACCACTTACCCCCATCCTCCCTGCCCTCCACCCTCCCTGATCCCAACCAACAGCTCGGATGAGAGAGAGAGAGCGAGAGACACACAGAAAGAGAGATAGAGAGACGCACAGAGAGAGAGAGTAAAACACCTTGTCCAGCGAGTACATTCACTGACCAGACTGGACCAATTAATAAACACTTACCGAGGGTCCGAGAGAGGACAGGCAGAGCTGAGCTGAGCACGAGCAGCGAGACACAGTTGCCGATGATCTAGAGAGAGAGAGACAGACAGAGAGAGCAGGTGAGGTCACCTGAACATCACACAGTATGCGAGCGCGTGTGTGTGTGTGTGTGTACACGTGTGTATATATACACAACACACCGTTAGCCGAGACAAACACTAAGCCTTTAAGAGTGCCTGTAGTTACCCCTGTCCACCCCTATCCCCCACACTCAACGGAGATATCCCACCACCACACCTCCACTCAACATGTTCTTTTATTTCAAGGTTAATATAAATTTTGCTTTTAACCCAACCCATCAGGGCGGTTCCTTTCAGGGTAGGACGGGTGTCTGGCCCACGCGGAAACCCGTCGCCTCGAGTCAAGAAAGTGTCGGGGAGGGAGGGAGACACTCACACACCGAGCGAGAGATACACAGAGACAGAGAGAGACTCACTTTGGTCAGGGGGGTGTCCTGTCTCCTGGGGGCGAGTTTGACGAACAATGGAGAGCTATAGAACCCAACGACGGACGAGAGCATCAGGTAACTGGGAGCCGGTTAAGGTGGGTTCAGTGACGTAGGGTTCTAACTGCGTCTTCGAGACGTCTCAAAGCGCTTCGCGGCATAGACTGGGAACTGAAGCGACCGTATATTTTGTGGGTGAAACCCGGCAGCCAATCGTGCACAGCGGCGGCCCCACAAACAGCCGTGGATTGAGTGACCAAATTAAAATTATTATTATTTTTTAATAAAAGGGGCGGTGAGGGGGGGTTATTACCGCCCGGAAAAGCGATCCGCCGATCAACTAACAACCGGGTTCCTACTTACTGTGGGGTAAACAGAGGCACATGGAGTAAGGAATCCTGCCCAAGGAGGAGGCCATTCAGCCCCTCGAGCCTGCTCCGCCATTCCATGAGATCAAGGCTGTTCCGCAGCTCAAGTCCAATTAACCCGCCCTTTGCCCCGTACCCCTCGGGGGGAAAACTGCTGAGCGACTCGGTCACCGTTGCCGCTAAGAAAGGATACAAGATGAGAACCACCTCAACTGCGGCCCCAAACGATCCAAACATGGACAGCGAGTCCTTCCCCAACCGAGGGGCCTGACAGGAGAGAGAGAGAGAGAGAGAGAGAGAGAGAGAATAGTTATCATCGTTAACTGACAGAACACCGGGGAGCAAACGAACGAGCGATTTTATTCGGGTCACTGAGCCAAGAGAGAGAGAGAGAGAGAGAGAGAGAGAACAAGCATCAGACTGTGGGTACCAATGGGTACCAATGGGTCCATAGTCAGTCCACCAGCGCCCTCCGCAGGCCACCACTGCGCATTACAGCACAGCGTCCCCGTTAATAATAATAATAATCCTTGCATTTGACACAGCGCCTGATCACTTCTTCGAGACGTCTCAAAGCGCTTCTCCAGGGTACGCTGTCGAGTGTAGCGACTGTCAAGTGGAGAGAGCGACGGTGTGTTTTGCGGCCAAACCCGTCAGAACGGTTCTTACGAGGACGAGAGATTTCAGGCCCTCATTCGGCAGAAATTCCTTTGCCCCATTCTCTTCCCACCCCCGCCCCCACCCCCGCCCCAAGGACACACATCCCCCCCCACTTGCCCCCCTTTTACCTGTAGTGCTTTAGGCATGGCTGTTTCGTCAACGAGTAGCTCCAGGACATGGAATCCCACCATCAGCACCGAGATACCCTGAAAAGATCACACACGCACTCAGCCGGGGGTTGCACGTTCCCTTCGCCTCGCGCCCTCCCCGGCCTCCTTCAAGACACATCTCGAGACCCTTCCTTTTCGACCTTCGGCCACCCTCTTACCCCCCCCCCCCCACCAGCCTCCCCGCCATCCCCCCTGATCCAACCCCCACCCCACCTTGGGTCCTCCCCACCTGAAAGACGCCGTATAACTGTAGTTTTGTATGGTGTATATCCCTTCACATCTCCCCAAGTCCCAGATCTTCTCCTACCCACCCCCCCACCCCCACCTTTGCTCTGGTATTTCAGACTTGTTGCTCACTACCCATTCCCCCCTCCCCACCCCCCACCAGGTAATATATCTAACCTTTTTTGTGCCTCTCCCCGATAATAGTTACTCACTGTCAGAGCCAGGAGCAGCAGCATAGCCAGAGGGTATCCCAGGTTCCGCTGCCAAGGCGATGCCCGTCGTCTCATCTCTGCGCAAATAAGCAAAATTATTCATGAATGATCCGTACATTTGATTCCGTGCCTTTCAGGTCGAGAGGATATCTCAAAGCGCTTCACTGTAGAGTGTGGTGACTGTGCACAGCGGGAAGATTTCGAGAGCTCTAACCACTGAACTGCAGGACTCCGAGGTTAAACGCTTTGCACGGACGATAAGGGACACACGGAGTTTTTGACGAATGCACCGAGTTTGAAGGAGGAGAGAGAGAGAGAGAGGGAGATGGAGGGAGAAGGAGGGAGAGAGACAGGGAGTGGGAGAGAGGAAGGAGAAAGAAAGAGAGATAGAGAAGGGAGGGAGAAAGCAAAAAGGCAAAGGGGGAAGAGTTGGTTTTTTTTTGCGGGGGGTGGGAAATGGAGGAGCGAATCGTGGGGTGAAAGTTTAGCTACTGACGGTGCAACAGACAGCGTGAGGAACGGGTTCACTTGACTGGGGTACCCACAGACGCCCCCGATCCTTACCCAGCTTCAACCTCCTGGCATGGATAGCCAGGAACTGTGTCTTCAGAGACTCCATGTTGAGGAACACCCAGCACGAGGGGGTTTGACCTGAGGAGGGTGGGGTGGGAGAGAAAAAAAAAAAGAATGGGTGTACTGATTAATCCCCGGTCACTCACGAAAGCCCAAAGTATAAAATCTCTTTGCACGACAACTTGCGTCTATTGACACAAGAGGAATAGACGGCAACGACTTGTCGCAGGCGAACAGTTTCCCCCGGAGTACCGGATCTCGAACACGTCACGGTACGACGACAAGGAATTACATTTCTATCGCACCTTCCGCGCCAGGAGGACGTCCCAAGGTGCTGGAACAGTCCAGGCTTCCCCCCCCTCGCCCTCCTGATCCCGACCACCAGCTCGGGCGCAGACCCCTGACTGTCCAGCGCCTTGGGACGTCCTCTCGACGCGAGAGGCGCCGGGTAAAGGTCACGTTGTTGTTGTAGTACGGTCCGCATCGCACTCACCGTTGAGTTTGTGCAGCATGGCGGCCTCCTCAAACTGCGTACAGTGAAGCTGCTCGTCCAAGTCTTCCAACAGCTGAAAGAACACAGAGCGATTGGTCACAGTGACTGTGTACGGTAATAATAACAACAACAACCCTTGCATTTGACACAGCGCCTGGTCGTGTCTTCGAGACGTCTCAAAGCGCTTCACGGTTCGCGCTGTAAAGTGAATCCGACTGTACGTTCCGCGGGCGAAACGCGGCAGCCAATGGCCACGGCAGCGGAGCCCGGAAGGATTATTATTATTTTTCCCTGGACGGAGCGGGGTTTGGGAGCGGAATTGCTTACCCTGGGCTTGACCAGCAGCTGCCCAGTGACCGTGAACATTCGGGAGAGGCCCAAAGGAGTGCACACTGCGGAGAAGAGGAGACACGGGTCAGTCCGACCGTCAACGTGGAAACCAAGAAGAGTTTCCAACCCCAAGATCCAACTCAACAACAGGGAGTCGGTGTATAATAATTATAATAATAATAATAAGCCTTGCAATTGACGTAGCGCCTTATCACGTCTTCGAGACGTCTCAAAGCGCTTCACGGGATAAACTGCAAAGTGTAGTGACTGTACGTTTTGTGGGCGAAACGTGTGTGTGTGTGTGTGTGTCAGGAATGGAACGTGCATTCTCCCTCCCCCGCCCCACCACCCACCCGAAGGATTGCGGAGTTCAGAGTCAACATCGCGGAGAACAACAACAACAACAACTTGTACGTACACAGCGTCTCGAACACTTTACTTTACTCACCCAGCAGCAAGAGAACCCCGAATAAGGAGATGCAGGAGTAGAGGTAGGGCACGGAATATTCCCAGAGATCTGCCGGGAGGAGAAGACGGGTCGGGATCAGGAATGAGGCCGGCACCAGAGCCCCGGGATAGCCGGAGGGCCGAGCGCAAGGGATCGCCCCCCCCACCCCAATCCCCCTGGGGGAATCTTTAACCAACTAAGAGGGCTGGTTATTTATACCAACGTATCTGGCCCAGGGGATGATTTTTATTCGGCCCGTGAACCATTCTCAACTTCATTTCATTCCTTTCCCCTCCCTCCCTCCCTCGCCCCAGCTCAGGTCCAAATCCCTGACCATCCCAGCTCCTTGGGCTGTTCCCCCCTCAGCTCCCGCTACCCACCTACCCCCTCCACTGACTCTCCCCCTCTCCCTCCTGTCCCCTCCGCTCACCGTACAGAGACTCCCTGCAGGCTGAGTCGTTGTCAACGATGGCTGATGCCACCCAAACGATGCCCAGCACCAGGAGGCTCAGGAGGAAGAGAACCACAAAGGTTTCGTAAACACGAGCCATAACGCCCTGCGGGGTTTGGGGTGGGGGGGGGGGGGGGGGGGGGGTGGTAAAAGAGAGAGAGAGAGAGCGTTACACCAACCAGCCCACACAAGCAGCCGTTCAAACTCAACACGAGCGCCCCCCCCCCCCCTCCACCTGCGTGGTTAGAGCGCGAGAGACCTGGGTCCGATTCCCGGCAGGTCAGGGCGAAAGCACGGGCAAGTTTCCTTATCCCACACACCCTCGTCTCCGAACCATACGTCTCGCTCGTACGTACGTCGCAGCAGTTTATGCGATTGCTTTGATGGCGTAAAGCGCGCACGGGACTCCGAGACTGCGTTGGTCAGTCTCGAGGTATCGCACGATGAGGAGCTCCGAACCTTTGGTGCCCGCTCACCTTTTTCGATCCGGCAAATCCCTCGGATTCAGTGAAGAAGTAGGCGAAAGGCATCAGGAAAACCAGCGAGAGGTTCGAGAAGAGGAACACGAGATTCCACAAGCCTGGGGTGGGGGGGATGGAGAGAGAGAGAGAGAGATAGAGAGAGGGAGAGGGAGGGAGGTCCGGGGGGAAGACAAGAGAGTGAGACACACAGCTTCCGGCCAGCGGAAAAAAACTGGAATAAAATCAACGACAAAGTGAGACTCTGAGGCTCTGGGAAGCTCCTATTTCCTGAACCCGGTTACGATCAATTTCCATTTAAATAATAATAATTTATTATTATTAATGTTATAATAATCCATTCGCCAATCGACTGACAGCCGGGGTTCCTACTTACTGCTGGGTAAACAGAGGCGCGCGCGCGTGTGTGCGCGCGTGCGTGCGTGTGCGTGTGGGTGGGGTGGGGGTGGTAAGGAAACTTGCCCAACATTTTGCCCTGACCCGACCGGGAATCGAACCCGGGTCCTCTCGCTGAGCCACAGGGACCCCACGCAAACGCAAGGAGTATTACGGTTCGGATTCCGGCTCGTTATCCGGCTGCGCCTTTGCTCACCGTGGACGAGCGAGCCGTTCAGCCACTGCATGTAGTAATTCTCGGGGAAGGAGAGGAGGATCTCGTTGCTGATGATGGAGAAGGGCAGCAGGAACACGGCGCTGACCGAGGCAGCCAGGGTGAAGGTGCACATCCACAACCTACCACAAGGGGGCGCCAGTGTTAGTGTCCGACCCACACACGCACTCAACACAGCAAAAAGGAGACCAGGACCTTATCTGCTCCCAAACATCCTCAAGGAATCAGGTCAATCCATCCTCCCTCCGCAGCCCTCACCGCCCACCCCTGCCAGCACCGCAAACCTCGGCGTCCCCACAGAACCAAGTTCCCTTTCCTTCCCCCACCCCCCACACCCCCCACCTTACTTTAAAAACCCCATCTCTCTCTCCTCTCCCACGGCCCCCGGTCAATCAGAGCGGATCAATAAGGAGCCGGGACTTACGCGATTCGGTTGACCGTTGCGTCCTCATTGTTGTCTGAAGGGAAACGGAGAGAAACAGAGAAACCCCTATTAGGGACATCCAACAGCGACACAGCTCAGCCACCCCACTCTGGGAAGCGTCTCGGAGGTTAGACCCTGACCCAGGTTAAGGGGACGCACTCGCTGTGCGCGCTGCGCTCGTTCGTGGAGAAGGGTTTGAGCAGACCTCGACAGTCACCGCACAAAGACACACAACCTTATTACAGTGGCCAGTCTCCTCCAAACAGCTCACAGACCTTGGCCGCGATTCAAGTCTACAAAGGCTATTTGCTTAGCAGGCAAATGCGAAGGCTAAATTCCACACAGCACGCTCTCTCTCTCTCTCTCTCTCTCTCTCTCCCCCCCCCCACTCTCTCTCTCTCTCCCCCCCTCTACCACCAAACACGTGGCCAAGTTACATTAATGTGGATGATGTTGGCCAGGACGCAGCAAGAGATGTTTGATGTCCGTATGACTGGTCAAGCGGCACAACAGCACCCCCCCCACCCCAACCCAAACTCACAACCTCCCAACTCAGAGGTGAGATCGCAGCCCCCCAACACCCCCCCCCCCCCCCGTCCCACCACCGAGCCAGGTAAGCCCACAGCTCTGCTTTTCCTCCACATAGGAAGCAGAAAACGGTGACGGGAACTGAAACCCAGTCACAAAATGAATTGCGTTAAACTTCCAGACTTTTTTTTATGTATATATAATATATATATACACACACACACAACACACACATGGCTCTGTTTGCCCAGCAGTAAGTTGGAACTTGTTGTTCGTCAGTTAAGCGATCGCTTTCAGGGGGTTTATTAATTCCCCCCCAAAACAAATAACAATTTGGTCACTCAATCCACGATTGACGCAGCGTTGAGCTACATGTGCGTTATTGGCAACTCTCGATGCAAAAGGAGAAGTTTGCAATCGCTGAAACAGATAAACAACAAATGAGAATAGCCCAGGCAGCTGTCAACAGCGTTCCCGAAACTCTGGACGGACAATTCCTGCTTATTCCACCTCCTCCCGCTCTCTGCTCCGCACAAAGTCTACCGATAGTGCCCAGACGCTGTCCAGTACCGGCGCTGATCAGTCCAGTTGGCTCTCATTATGTCAGGGTTACCCAGCGCTGGGAACAGATTGCTCGAGTGTCGAAATGGGAACCTTTGCCCCAGATTCTACCCGATCCGATCAGCAATAAGAGAGGACAGTGTGTTCTAACCTTGAGATATCACCCCAGTCGAAACTGTGCTACTTCTGTTCCTGGTCTCCCTCCACAACCCCCCCCTGCACCCCAAAACACCCCCCAAACACAAACGCACACAGACACGCATTGTCAGCTCATTACTAGACAGTTCAGAGGGACCCTGACAGCTCAACCACTGTGCCGGCAGCTCGTACAGAAGAAAACTGGCCACGGTCCAGCTGGACGCTGGATATTAATAGCCGAAGCTGCCTCCACTTCCTTCACCTTCGCTGTAAACAGCCTCGACTCAATCCCGAGTCCCAGCCAGCGAGTGGGATGCGAAAACCCGACCAAAATAACCCGAGGGTCAACGGGAGGAGCGTTAAGACTACAGCCAGAAAACTTTTTTAACGGTGACAGTATTAAGACGTGCTCGAGCCGGCGCCTGGTCGAGTCTTCGAGACGTCTCGAAGGGCTCCACGCGATACACCGTAAGGTGAATTGACGGCGTAACAGCAACCTGTCAAGCTTACGGCCACTGTAAGATGGGGGAGGGAAGGGGGCAAGGCGGAGGGATAGACGGAGAGGGTTCCAGAGTTTGTATAGTTTGCGGGCGAAACGCGGCAGCCAAATGCGCGCAGCAGCGTCCTCACAAACGGTCGTGGATTGAGCGACCAAAGAAAAAATAAAATTACTCTGCAGAGCTCACCGTCCAGGCTGATACTCCGGTGCAGCGATGGGGGTGAGGGGTGGGGGAGCGAGAGATGTATTGTCGGACACGCCGTTCGCTGTGTTGGGCCATTTCCGTGACAGGAGCAGAAAGCAGCTGTCAGGAAGTACGTACGTTTCCCACCCCCCCCCCACCCCCCGCTCTCTTTTCCTAACAGAGGAGACCAACAGTTGGGGTCATTTCCCGGGAAAAGACCCACATTCCCAACAGGAAATAACTTCAAACAACTTCCCGAAATGTTTTTTTAATCATTATTTTGTTTGAATAAAGAGAGAAAAAAAAACTGCAAAAACACCGGCCGCTGTTGGGCGGACGTGATTTTTCACCCGCGTGTACAATGACCTGAGCAGCACCGCGCTTCCCGTTGACCCAGCGTCGAGCGTAGTGACTGTATTGCGTAGGGGAAAGCTGTAGGCAGTTTGCGCCCTGCAACGTTCACACAAACAGCCAGGAGAAAATCATCTTATTGTGGGATCGGTTTTATTGCGGCTGAAAGACAGCGCCCAAGGCAACTCCACGGGAGGCGAGAGGGTGCGCGCTAGCAGATGGCTGCCAAAAAGGAGGACGCGCGAGAAAGCGAACTGGAATAAACCGCGAACAGCAACAGCGCACAAAAATAGAGAGACACCTTCTCCTTCTCCCCCTCTCCCCCCCTCTCTCTCTCTCTCTGTTAACATAGCAACAAGTTCCAACGCCTACAGGAATCTGGCTGAACAGAGTCGGGCGGGTTGGCATGTCAGGCTGTCGATCTCTTGCGACATTAGAGCGGTGCGGAGACAAAGGTAAGTTGGCTGGAGGTGGGAGAGAGGCCGAGAAAGGTCACCTCGGCGCAAGTAACTTCCCTCCGCACCCATCGAGGTACGTAGGCAGTTGAGGAGACGTCAAGGACTTCTGACGTAAGAGGGGGACGAGGTTGTTGCTGTTGTTGTTGTTGTTGTTGTGGACTGCAAGTCCTTGCCCATTCACTCGCATTCAACTAAACAAACACTCAAATTATTATTATTATTAATTATCTTCAATGCTCCCACCGCAAATAATTTGGTCACTTCACCCCACGACTGTTCGTGGGACACTGCCTTGCGACAATTGCCTGCCCACAAAATACACAGTCACTCCACGTTACTCTGGAAGACCTGATAAGACGCTGTGTGAAATGCAAGGGTCTACTTTTATTACGATCACCTCTGGGTCAGAAGATTTCGAGCGCTGCACTGAAGTGCCATCTTAGACTACACCAGTTCCAAGTCCTCTCATAGGGGGTCGGGGGGGGGGGTTCGAACTTACAAGCTTCTGACTCAGAGGCGAGAGAGCTACCGACTGCGCCCGGGCTGACACAACATATGGTAAACACGCAAGAGACCTGAAGTGCATCAACGGAGAACAGATGCCAGCTGAGCAGTGCACATACACGTCAGGGACACACTGAAGAGATTTCGCCCACAAATACATACGGTCGATTCACTTTACAGTCTATTCTGTGAAGCGCTGCGAGAAGTCTATATCGAACGCAAGGATTATTATAATCCTTAACTGTCCAGCGCCTTGGGACGTTCTTTCGATGCGAATGTCATTGTATAAGTAACGGTCCTTGCATTTGATATGGCGACTTCGAGACGTCTCGAAGGGCTTCACGGCATAGACCAGCCCACAAACAGTCACGGATTGAGTGTCCAAATTATTATTATTATTATTTTTTTATTCAGTCTTGAAGGGATCAATACCCCCGGGAAAAGCGATCCGCCAATCGACCAATAACCGGGTTCCTACTTACAGGATTTCAAACCGAATAACCAACGCTGTTTCCCCTCAACCCCCCACACCCCCCCCCGCCCCCAATCGCGAGGTGCTCGCTCACCTGTGGTGAAGTCAGCGTTCTTCTTGAACTTGGTGAGGATCAGGTAAGAGAAGATGTAGAGTGCAGAGAAGAGCAGCGCGCAGATCTGTGGAGAGATGGGAGGTAATTAAATGAACGAATGATAATTAAATAACTTTGCGGATTCATTAATTGATGACCCAGGGCTAATTAACGCACAGTGTTGCCGGTCAGGACGCCAGGAGAAACTCCCTTCTCTTTTCCAACAGCGTTGGGCAATCTTGAACAGCCACGGAACAGGGGTCGGAGGGACCTCCTGTTAATGGCTCATTTGAAGGACAGCACCTCTGGTAACACAACGCTACCCCCGGCACTGGGCTGGAGCGACAGAGTAGGTAAAAATGCCGAACATGGGCCTTGTTACTCTGGTTTGTATCCCCACATGTGGAGCCCTGTAGCTCAGTGGCAAGTTTCCTTACTCCACATACACACACACACACAGACACCATATACCACACACACAACACACAGAACACACGCCTCTGTTTATCCAGCGGTAAGTAGGAACCTGGTTGTTAGTCGATCGGAGGATCGCCTTTCCGGGGTTGATAATCCCTTCCAAAACAATAATGATCATAATAAATTGGTCACTCAATCCACGACTGTTTGTGGGGACGCTGCTGTGCGCAATCGGCTGCCGCGTTTCGCCCGCAAAATATACAGTCGATTCACTTTACAGCGTATCCTGTGAAGCGCTTTGAGACGTCTCGAAGACGCGATGAGGCGCTGCTTCAAAGCACAAGGATTATTATTATTATTATCATCATCTCTGAGCGATGAAGAGCCCCATCATCATAGCAACACTGAAGTAAATAGTTAAACAAAGCCTCTGTATGTTGCTCAACTAGTTTGTAGCGTGAAAAACTCAGCGGGAATGGAACCGATGCAGCAACACGCACTCACCCCCCACCCCTCACACACACACACCACACCCACTCAGACAGAAGCAAGTGCATTACAATTCTGCGTTAATATTGAACCTGCTCAAAACCTCCTCCTCCCTCTCCCCGTCCATTCCCTCCCCACCACGATAGCAGTGGATTCAAGTCCGAGGCTGGAGGCACATCAGATATCGCCCGATGCAGCCACATGTGCTCCAGATGTTTCCCCGCAGTCACGCAGCCATCGACTCTGTCTCTCCAGGGCCAGCGCGCGATCCAGGATTGCCTGGGGAACCCATTCCTGTGGAGTCCCTGTAGCTCGGTGCTCGGAGCCCTCGCCTCGCAAGCGAGGGGACCCGGGTTCGATCCCCAGGTGGGTCAGGTCAGGGTGAAACGTTGGGCAAGTTTCCTGACTCTCGCGTTTCACCCACAAAACATACAGTCAATTCACTTTACCGTGTATTCTGTGAAGCGCTATGAGACGGCTCGAAGATGTGATAAGGCGCTGTATCAAATGCAAGGATTATTATTATTATTATTAATATTATCCCTTACAAGATCTTAATTGGGACGTCCTTTGGATGGGATGTTAAACCGAGCTGTGGCTGTGTGGGGGGCGCGGGCGGGTGGGGGGGGTATAAAGATCCCGTGGTCCTATTCCCCCACACCCCACCCTGAATAAAATTGAACATTTGCTTTGTTTGCAGGGGCGTTGCTGTGTGCAAATCGGCCGCCCCATTCACCTACAAAACACTCTTATTTTACAGTGAAGCGCTTTGAGACGTCCTCTCGACTTGCAGGGCGCGATCTCGAATGCAAGGCTTAGTAATCCTGTTCAGCGTTGACGCTGGTTATTAGCGCGAAAGAATCCATGTTGAACGACAGCCACCTTTTTTCTACCCTCGCTCCTGCCGCCTGCGCGCTCATCTCAGATTCAGCCTCGTGGACTTGTGCTTCCAACGCAAAGGAGCACGAGAGAGAGATAGGGAGGGAGGGAGAGAGTAGAGGGAAACACAAGTTGTGTAGGGGTTAGTATTTTCCGCGAAAGGCCAGATGGTCAACAAGAGTCTCCTGCAACCTGCAGAGAAACCCACATCAAAGAGCCCTTCCTCCCAGATCACAAGGGGCAGAGAGGAAGGAGGTGGGAATGTCATCTGTTTCCTTCGCTCTGTTCTGCCGCGTGGTGGGGAGAGGAGACGTTTGGGGGGGGGGGGGGGAAGACGGTCACACTGCTCGCTCGCATTCTGGCCTCAGCTCAGCTTCCAACAAAACACAGATTAAATATCCGTACGATCCACATTTCCTGCGCAGTTGAAAACAGGACAAAGATGTTTCATTGTTTGAGCCAACCTCCTCTCCTCTCTCCTCTCGCTGGCCAAAGGGCATATCAGGGCCAGTCAAAAAAACAAGTCATGCGATATCGAGAGAGAGAGAGATAGAAAGCGATCTAATGCTGACCAGCACCGTACGTGTCTGCCCTCTCTGCTGAGCTCTGGCTCATGTAGTTGAGGGCAGGTCCACACCTAGAATTTGGTCCTGGATCATAATAATCATCTAATGTTGTAACGTCTCAAATTTCTACGAAGCCGACAAATACACAGTCATTCCACTTCACAGTAAACGCTGTGAAGCTCTTCGAGATGTCCTCCCGATGTGCGATGGCGCTATACCAAATGCACGTATCATCATTATTATTAGTACTGCTACTATTATTTGAGTCGAGTTGACCCAATGTTCGTGGACAAAAACGACAGCTGATTTGTGGAGATCGTTGGCCAGGACACCAGGAGGAAAAAAATCAATTTCCTCTTTTCGAATGGCCGGTTTAACATCGCAGACGGTTTAACATCTCATCCGAAGGACGGCACTTCTGATAATGCCATACGCTCTCTGAGTAATGGGGGTGGGAGGGGGGGGGGGGTTGGGTAGGCGGGCGGCAGAAACGGGGTTGGGGGCGGAAGCGAGCGAGCGAGAGAGAGAGAAGGAAGAGGAGAAAAATGTTGCACAATTACTCATCTATAAGATAAAAGGCACATTCTGTTGCGGCCTGAGATAAGGGAAGACGCAATTAGTTGCAGAGAGCCAACATACAATGGGAAACCTGCAATCTCACTTAGGTCAGAGCGCAGGATATCACGAAGCAGCGGACACAAAAAAAACAGCTGATCCGACGATCTAATAATCCTCCTCCGCGCATCGTCAACAACAACAACAACAACTTGCATTCATTTAGCGCCCCTCGCACTGGACTGCGTCTCGGAGGGCTCAACAATACGGTGCTTACCACGCAGTTGCCAGGTTCGCTTTGGGTTAATAATAATAATAATAATAATAACGGCATTTGACACAGCGCCTTATCACGACTTCGAGACGTCTCACGAATATACTGTAAATTGAATTGACGTCCCCCAGTGCCCTCCGTTCCACCGTTAGTGGCCGCGGCTTTCAGCCACTACGCCCCGAAACTCTGGCACGCTCCTCCTCTATCCCTCCGCCTTGCCCCCTTCCTTCCCCCTGTTCAACCGTGCCTAAGGTCCCCCCACCCCTCCACCGGTTCGGGGTCGTGCTCCGCCACTGTCGAGCGCTCTGGGGCTCTCTCCCCCCACCCCCCCCCCCCGCGTGAGGGGGCGCTGCGCGAATGCAAGTTGTCGCAGTTGCTGTCCTTCAAATGCAAGTCTGTTACAAGGCACAAGAAGAGAGCATCTCACTGCGTCAAGGCCACCAAACCTCCCTCCCCTCCCTCTAACCCCCCCCCCCCCGCAAACCTCCCTTCCCTGCTCCCCCCTCCCCCCCGCAAACCTCCCTCTCCTCCCTGCACTTCACGTTCAAAACACTCTCAAGATAGTCTCCCTTTGACCCAGCAAATGCTCCTTCTCAGCACTCTTCCCGCACACACACACACACACACACTGCGGAGAACATCAGTCACTCTGCCAACGCCTGTAGCTTCTCCACAGATCCAGACTGCAACGGGAGAATCCGGAGAGAACGAACACAGTCAACCTTGAGCCCCAGCTCGGTGTCGCTGCTAGACCTGACGTGCTTTTTGTTGTTGTTGTTATCGTTGTTGAGTGATCAGCAAAATAAAGTATTCGTTCCACCATCCGTTACACACACACACACACCACACACACACAGATATAATAGAGGTTCTTCTCTCCCCACTTCCCCTCCCCCCCCCCCCCAACCCGCTTGTCAGACTCCGCCACCGTGAAGCTCTGCGGGACCCTACCCCGGGCGAAGGGCGCCACGTAAATGCAAGCTGCTGTCTTGGCAAAGCCGCGAGGCAACGCAGAGGGGACGACCTCAAGCTCAAAGCGCAGCCTGCTCGCTCGCTCGCGTGCGTGCAATGGTCCCCTCGGTGCAGGTATCAAGTGGTTTCCCCCCCGGGATATTGCGCCTAATTTAGCTTAAATGCAAGCCCGCACACCGCAGCAACATACCACGCCCAAAATCCTGGAGGCATCGTTCCTGCCGACTCCTGGGAAAATGTTTTCCTTACAACCGCGATAATAACCCCGGCGTTCATGTAACAACAGCAATCCTTGCATTTTTATAACCGCCTTATCATGTCTTCGAGAAGTCTCCAAGCGCTTCACAGGATAACACTGTAAAGTGCAGAGTGACTGTGTATTTGGCCTTGGGCTTGATAAGACTGCCTGGAACAAAGTTGGGACGTCTGGTTGTGTTCAGCGCGTAACTTCTGTCAAGACTTGTGTATCTGTTGGCAAACGCAGCGCCCATTTTGCACAGCCGTGCCCCCTCAAACCGTGAAGCGCAAGGGCAGTTTATCTGGAGGATTGTTGGCCAGGACATCACACGAAGCTATGGACCACGTACATTTTTAAAAGGATAATCAATACCAAGGCAGTGACTGGGGCGGTTGAAATCTTATCACAATCTAATCTCAGTAAAACTTCAGACTTTGGATCCATGGCTTGAGACGTCAGCTGAACTTTACACCTATAGGCTCTCCCAAGCATTGATTCACTGTACTGTATAGTCACGATAGCTACAAGGTAGTACCATCATATAAAGAGAAGTCGTGCTGATTACTCACTCAGCAGTTTGTCATCACCAACAGCAAGAAACAACAACAAATGACATTTACACAGCGCCTTTCATGTCGGGAGGACTTTCCAAGACATTGGACGGTCAAGGGTTTTGTACCCAAGCTGGGGGTTGGGATCAGGAGGGGTGGAGGGCAGGAGAAGGAGGGTGACCGAAGGCACAGTCGAAGAGGAAGATCTTGAGATGGGCTTTGAAGGAGGCGAGGGAGGGGGCGAGGCGCAGGGACTTTAGTAGTGGAGTCAGGGCATACGCTCGCAAGCGAGAGGACTTGGGTTCGATCCTCACACAGGGCGAAAGCTTAGGCGGGTTTCCTTACTCCACACACACGCCTCTGTTCACTTAGCAGTAAGTAGAAACCCGGTTGTTAGTTGAAGAAGCTAACCGCTGCCGCTTCCCACCCACAAAACCCACAGCCAATTCACCTTACAGCGTGTTCTGGGAAGCCCTTCGAAACGTCTTGATGAAGCGATAAGGTGCGATATCAAATACAAGGGTTACTAGGGAGGGTTACTATTAATCAGTACCGAGAGTGGAGCCGTGAGAACCTTCTACAGGCTTGCAGGTCAACTAGAACTTCTTAAGGAACAGGCAAGAAATATTCCCATCCGTTGCCAATCCACAATGGACAACTTTCTGAACGCACTGCAGTCAACTGCAGCAACAGGAAACTGCTCCTTAGCACATCGTCAGGACATCTCAAAGCACTTTATTTTTATAGGTGAACTTGGCAGCCAATTTGCACACAGCCACATCCCGCAAAGCAGCCACAAAGTGAACAGCCAATTTTTAATCGGGGAAGGGGGGGGTGGGGGGTTTGCTGCCCGGGAGAAACGCCCATCTCTTTCAAACAGTGCCATGGGATCCTTAACTGTTTGAATGTTCTTCATTTAACACTTCAAAGCAATGTCAGAGCAGACACAGCTATTGATAATAATCCTTGCATGTGATCATCGCGCCTTATCGGGTCCTCGAGACGTCTCAAAGCGCTTCGCAGAATACACTGGAAGGTGAATCGACTGTACATTTCGTGGACGAAATTGTCAGATTTCGGCTGTTTTCAAGCCGAGAAAAGGCTCGGCCAACATCCATCCCGTACGAACCGATTACCGGAAACCTTTTGCGCAACACGTTGGGATGTGCACGTTCACAGGTTTCTCACTGACCAGGAAAGAAGTTGCTCACTGCCAGACAACCAGCTTCAGAGGGAACTCATTTAAACCTTAATTTGCCGCACATACCAACACCGCAAGTCAACATGTCTCCGTATTGCTTTACACTTATCTCGTCGACTGAGTACTGATCAGAGGAGAGGCACACGTTCAGGAAATGCGAGTTACAGCCAGAAATGAATGGAAATGGACAGCGGTCAATCAATTGAAACGTGACCCTGATCAAAGCTGGACCACTAAGAGGTAAAAAAAAAAGCCCCCCCCCCCCACCCACTTTGGAAAGGACTGACGAGGAGGGTAAGTAGATGCAGACCAAAGAAATCAGACGTTAAAAGAAATAACCAAGAATTAAAACCCCAACTCCAGGACATTGACAGCTAATGGCCATCGGATTGCGAAATGTTGGGCACAAGAGTTGAAGGTTTTTTTCTCTCTCTCTCTCTCTCTCTCTCCTGTGAATTGCCCTCAGGACACGAATCAGATCTGCAGAAGGCGTTTGGACAAAGTTACACATTAACCTCTTTTTCCTCTCTGTCCCTCTCATTCAAGAGACGAATCAACGTCCTATACATTTGCAAAATTTTTACTTTTCTCTCTCTCTCTCTCTCTATCTCTATCTATTTCTCTATCCATTCCTCTCTCTCTCTCTATCTCTCTACCTCTCTCTTTCTCTCTCTCTCTCTCTCTGCTTGATCGCCAGGCTCTTGAGCAAGCACTCTTACCCCCCCCCCCCACCCCTCCCCACACCACCCCCCCCCCCATCCAGAGCCCCCCGAGTGGTGGGATGGGTGGGGGGGGGGGGGGAAGAGGGGGGGGGGGTTCCCCCACCTGAGCTCGAAACGGTGCGCGAACAACAACAACAACAGCAAAAAAGAAAAAAAGAAAGGAAGAAAGAGCGCTTGGACTTGGGTTGCAAACCCCCCCCCCAAAAAAAACCTCTTCTCCCCTACCCCCTCTTCTCCCCACCTCTTCTCCCCTACCCCCCTCTTCTCCCCACCTCTTCTCCCCTACCCCCTCTTCTCCCCCCCTCTTCTCCCCTACCCCCCTCTTCTCCCCCCCTCCTTCTCCCCCCCCCCTCCCCTCCTTCTCCCCACCTCCTCCCACGGCACTCACGAGACACTCCCGGACGCGGTTGTGGAAGAGCTGCTCTCTAACTCCAACGTCGACGTCCATGTCCACCCTTCATGGCTGGGACCGGGGCTCTGCTCTCCGGTGTCTCCGCGCCGCAGCCGCAGCCCTCGCGGTGTCGCTCTGCCCCCAGCGGCCGCTTCCCATTGGCCGAGACCGGGAAACAATGTATCCACTGGGCATTGTAACTGTATCCCCGCCCACCCGGTCCATCCTGCTCGGCGCCGATTGGCCCGAGCCCCCGCGCGCGTCAGCCAATAGGAACCCGCGGAAGGTAGGCGGGCGTCACGCTGGTGGGCGGGGCGGGGGGTGGAGGGCGGGGCGGGAGTGTGAGGGGGCGGGGCGTGGGGATGTAATAAGGGATGTGATTGGCTATAAGACGCCAATTGATTGGCATCTCGTTCACTGTTTGCCTCCAAACCCCCCAACCCCCCCCCACCCAAACCCCCCAACCCCCCCAACCCCCCACCCCCCACGCCAACCCCCTCACCCCACCCAAACCCCCCAACCCCCCACCCCCCACGCCAACCCCCGCAGCCCCCCCAACCCCCCACCCTACCGCAACCCCCCCCCCCACCACCCACCCCAAGCCCCCCATCCCAACCCCCCCACCCCGGTCTGGAACCAGAGGGCACAGTCTTAAGCCACTCCGAAACACTGCCCTGCACTGAAGGATTCAATATAAATGCAAGTTGTTGTCGTTGTAGAATCAGAACTGGGAGATCCAGGACGGAGGTGAGCAAACAGAGTGCGGAATTCTCTGCTGCAGTCAGTTGTTGAGGTGGTAATAATGTGTTCTGGGACACTCCCCTGTGTGAGGGGCGCTATATAAATGCAAGTTGTTGTCGGTGTCGTCAAGCGAAAATAAAATTGAGAGATTATGGAGAACTTCCCAGTGCCTTGGGACGCCCTCCTGATTTGAAAGGCGCCATACAAAAGTAACCTGTTGTCGTTGTTGCTGTGGTTGAAAAAGCCAGACACGGGGCCAGGGTTCGGATCTAGGATACTCACCTAGAATAATAATCCTTACATTTGATATAGTACCTTATCATGTCTTCGCGACGTCTCAAAGCGCTTCGCAGAATATACTGTAAAGCAAATTGACTGTATTTTTTGTGGCTGAAACGCAGAGACCAATTGCGCACAACAGTGTCTTCTGTGGAGTGTAAACATAGGCCAGACTGGATGGCCCAAATGGCTTGTGTCTGAGCTATGAATCTAAAAATGAGCAAACAACAACATGCATTTATATAGCGCCTTTCACACTGGAAGCGTCTCAAGAGCGCGTGACACACCTCAGGTGAGTGAAGAAGTTACTGCCTTTTGTGCATTTTCATCTCATCGAATAAAGGGTGGGAACTTCTATCCTACTGGAGTTCAGTTGCAAATCGCCTTGAGCACAGAGCCACCGAAAGACAGAGTGTAATTTGATCTTTGATTGCTTTAGAAATGCCAATTTCCTGGCCTACTTTACAACTTATCAGATGGTTGCTTCTGGTGTGAAATGTACCTTTTGCAGATGTGGAGTCAGGGCTGGGTCTGATATAATTTTCCAATAGCCAAATAGCGCACCACAATGTATTGCAAAACCTCACCGATGAAGAATGCTTACATGCTTGAACTACTGCAAATGCACTTGGCAGGGAATAAAAATTTGTTCTGGAAGATGAATATCTACTGAGGTACAAAGTAGCTCGGTTTCCCTCTACAGGCTTTACATCTTTGCTGCATCGTATACGCAGAGGTGCCGTCACTTAAGAGTGGAACCGGGAATGAAACGCAAGGGGAGGGGGAAAATGGCATGTTGGTGATTTATTTCACTGCTATAACAGAAATGGTACTACTGGTGCAGATTAGTTGCTGTATTTCCTCCACTTCAAAGTACTTCGGGTGAAAAATTAAACTGAGGTCATTTCTTGTTCAGGTAGGGCTGAAAGATGCTACGCTACTTTAAACTTCCATTGGTCTATAGCACCTTTCACAAAAACATCTTGGGAGGATAAATTAAGTAGTTATAGTGGAAATCTGGAACTCTTTCCCCCCGCCGCAAAAAGCTGTGGATGCTTTGGGACGTCCTCCCGACGTGAAAAGCGCTATATCAAATGCAAGGATTATTTTTATTTATGCTGGATACGCTCCATTTTTTAAGAGTGAGGTGGGTAGACTTTTGTTAGAGTCGGGGTATGGAGGGATACAGGGCAAAGGCAGGTAATTGGAGTCGAGGTGCAGATCAGTTATGATCTTATAGAATGGTGGAATAGGCTCAAGGGGCTGAAAGGCCGACTCCTGGTTCTTATGGTCCTCATTAATACGGTGCTGCAGACAATACTTTGCCAACAAAAAACGTTGCTGCACTGTGACAGTAATCTGGAGGGTACTTGAATCGGCTGCTTTCAGATTTGGGCATTTATTGGTTTCTTTCAAGCCAGCGACCTCTGTTGGAATGAACAAGTATTGGACAGCAAAGGAATCATGCTGAGCTCGACTGTTATCCCCCCACGATAAGATCGCAACTTCAGCTACATTTGGAAAAATCATTCATGAGACACAAAATCCCACCCCACTCAAGTCACACCCTTTACTATTCCAGCACACTCATTTTTATTGGATTCTGAAAGGTTCAGTGGATTTCCTCAAATGCATTCCTATTAATTCAATTTTCACGTCCAAACCAAACACAAGGCCAAGTTGTAGACTTGTAATGCAAGGATCGTTTCATAAAGGATTAAGAACTTGATATTTTGTCACGTGCTGATCATTCACATACAAAAACCTGCTCAGGGCAGCATTAAAAGTAGTTTTTTCAAGCTCTTTTATTGCATCTGACATGATAGAAAAGAAGAACCAGACAGAAGCAGACATGATCACAGATCTGAACAAATTAAGACAACCCGTTAAAGATTGACACTCTACAAAGCAACAAACTTGTACTTTCCCTAAAACCCTTGTTGTGTAACATCACATTCAATTGTTGAACAGAAACACTGGAATGAATGGAGTCTGAATGCAAGAAGCATGCCTTTTGTGAAAGTCAACAAGATCTCACTCAAAAAAACCTTCATATTAATACTCTTCCCCTTCCTCTTCACCATCACCTTCAACTGAGTCAACACCAACTTCTTCATAATCTTTCTCCAGAGCAGCCATATCCTCCCGAGCCTCAGAGAACTCGCCTTCCTCCATACCCTCGCCCACGTACCAGTGAACGAACGCACGCTTGGCGTACATCAGGTCAAACTTGTGGTCCAGGCGAGCCCAGGCCTCAGCAATAGCTGTGGTGTTGCTCAGCATACACACAGCCCGCTGCACCTTGGCTAAGTCACCTCCAGGAACCACAGTGGGAGGTTGGTAGTTGATGCCAACCTTGAAGCCAGTCGGGCACCAGTCCACAAACTGGATGCTCCGTTTGGTCTTGATGGTGGCAATGGCTGCATTAACATCTTTTGGCACCACATCACCGCGGTAAAGGAGACAGCAGGCCATGTACTTGCCGTGCCGTGGGTCACATTTGACCATCTGGTTGGCTGGCTCAAAGCAGGCATTGGTTATTTCAGACACAGAAAGCTGCTCATGATAGGCTTTCTCAGCTGAGATAACAGGTGCATAGGTGGCCAGTGGGAAGTGGATACGGGGGTATGGCACCAAATTGGTCTGGAATTCAGTCAGATCAACATTCAGGGCACCATCAAAACGGAGGGAGGCTGTGATAGAGGATACAATCTGACTAATGAGACGGTTCAGGTTGGTGTAAGTTGGTCTGTCAATGTCCAGGTTTCTTCGGCAGATATCATAAATGGCTTCATTGTCTACCATGAAGGCACAGTCAGAGTGCTCTAGGGTAGTGTGGGTGGTTAGGATGGAGTTGTAGGGCTCGACCACTGCAGTAGACACCTGTGGGGCTGGGTAGATGGAGAACTCCAGCTTAGATTTCTTGCCATAGTCAACTGAGAGACGCTCCATCAGCAGTGAGGTGAACCCTGAGCCAGTGCCACCACCAAAGCTGTGGAAAACCAGGAATCCCTGGAGACCTGTGCACTGGTCAGCCTGTCAAACAAATCAAGCGGGAAAAAAATACACTAATTAATGTCAAATCCTCCCCAACACTTCCACACTATCCATCACTCTACAGGTTAAGTCTCAAGAAACCTACCAGTTTACGGACTCTGTCCAGGACCAGATCAATGATCTCTTTGCCAATTGTGTAGTGGCCACGGGCATAATTGTTGGCAGCATCTTCCTTCCCAGTGATGAGCTGTTCAGGGTGGAACAGTTGACGGTAGGTGCCACTACGAACCTCATCTGAGAAACAAGAGCAGAACATTTTTCCAGTAAAGAGAATAGAGCAACACGCACATCACGCATGAACTACTATACAAAGTTGTGTTTAACAGAAACAGGTAATGTATACCTATGACAGTTGGCTCCAAGTCCACAAACACAGCCCTGGGGACATGTTTGCCGGCTCCTGTCTCGCTGAAGAAGGTGTTGAAAGAGTCATCTCCGCCTCCCATGGTCTTGTCACTGGGCATCTGTCCATTAGGCTGGATTCCGTGTTCCAGACAGTACAGCTCCCAACAGGCATTGCCAATCTGCACACCAGCCTGACCCACGTGGATACTGATACACTCTCGCTGTGAAGAAAAATTGATAAGCTCGCTTCTTAAGTATTGGGATAAAACGTAAAATAAAAAATCAAGCCAATAATCTGCAGGAGACACAGCAATAACAATCCTCGCATTGGATATAGCGCTTTATCTCATCTTCGACACGTCTCAAAGCGCTTCACAGAATATACAGTGAAGTGACTGACTGTATATTTTCATGGGCGAAGCAATAAGCAAGCAATAATAGCTCAACAATGTCAACAGGTGGGTGTGTGAAGCGCTTTGAGACATCTCGGAGACATGATAAAGTGCTGTAACAAATGCAATGATTAATTTGATCCTTAGTAGCAGTAGCATTATCAGCGTTTTGCCCCAACGAGACCCGCTCGGCCTGTCCTCGGCGGACTGTGTATAAAAAAAATCACCAATCAAAAGGAGATGTACGGGTCCTTCTGCTTGTGGGACCTGGTGCACAAAATGGATGCCCCGCTTGCTTAAGAAAAAATCTTAACGGTACACATCAGTGGTTTGCGGGAAGCACCTGGAGACCTTGCCGGCTCAGGCGAAAAAACATTCTTGCTCTTGCTTCTGCTTGTGCGCCGCGAGGGTCGGTGGGAGTTGTAGTTCATCGCCTGATAAGAGCGCCTGAGAGGAACCAGCGCTGGGAACTACAGGTCCCAAGGTGCGGTGCGTGCACACTGCAGCGCCGCCCAACCTCAGCACCGCACCGCACTGCCTCTCCCTCCACTCCCTCCACCCATCCACTAAGTCACCCAACATACGTACGTTTCGCCCCACAAAACATGCGGCCAATTCACTTCACGGTGAGGCGCTCTGCGAGGTCGCGAGGGCACAAATAAGGCGCTATATCGAATTGAAGGATTATTATATTCTGTGAAGCACTTTTGAGATGCCTAGAAGACAACAACAAAATTACATCTATCGAGCGCCTTTCTCGTCGGGAGGACACCTCAAGGCGCTGGACAATCAGCAATTCGTTAAGTGCTGTATCAAATGCAAGGATTATTATACTAATCCTTTGTAATTACCTTTTACGCAAAGGTGGGGGTGGGAAAAAGAATAAAAGGTGAAAGCTAAACCTCATAACGTCTCTAACTCTGACTCAGCCGCCTCCTCCTGCTAACGTCTTGTAGGTCACTTGCATCCACGTGGTGGAAAGGAGAAAGATGAGTGAATGACTGAAGGGCGTGCCTTGCCCCCCCCCAAAAAAAAGGGAGCTGTAGCAATCCATTCGGATGGTACGAAACATCTCGTGCAAGAGGGATCCATTGCAGTCATCGCTGCACATTCGCCTCCACAATGTCAATGCTTTGCATGGATCAAGGAGACTGCAAGGCTCCTTGAGAAGAGAACAAGAGGGATGGGGTGGGGTGGGGTGTGGGCTGGCTTCCTGCTCTTCACTGCAACGCAGAGGCATGGGGTGGGGTGAGAAACGGAAAGCCCCTGCAGCAATAAGGGTATTGCGTCTTTCTCCTCCATATCGATGCATTTTTTTCCAAATGTAAAATAAGAGCATCTCGGTGACACCAGGGCTGTTTGCTAAACCTTTTTTTTGGGGTGGGGAGCGCGGGGGAAAGGAAGCAGAATCTGTGCGGAGTGGAAATTATATATATATATATATATATACACATACAATAATAATCCTTGCATTTGACGTAGCACCTTATCACGTCTTCAAGACTTCTCACAGCGCTTCACAGAAACAAAATGCAAAACGCGAATGCCAGGAAAAGAAAACGCCGACAAGATCTGGTTTCAAGGCTTGTGCGGATTGCATAACCGTGGGTCCATCATGCATTTACAATGTCCTCTGGGGGTGTTTTTTTTTTCCTCTCTGGCTCTCTCTCCTCTTTCCACCTGGGTCCAAAAATACAACCACGCCTTTGGCTCACTGAGCCATTACATCCACACCCATCCACACAGAGTAAGACAAAAAGAAAAGCACCTTATACATACAAAAGACCCCTTAAAACGCTTTAGATTATTCCTAATGCATTAATCATCCTAAAAGCCCTGATGGTTTGTGAAGTATTATATATATATATATCTATATATATATATAGATATGTCCTCTAGGTGCACCCCCCCCCTCCAAATATTTTGCCATAACATATTTTGCCACTCTTAATGGCCAAAAAAAAAGAAATCGAGGATGAAGCATTTGAGGGTTGAACGAATGAGATAACTGAGATGAGATAACTCAGCCCTTTTAAAGCACATGTAACGTGCGAGAGTAAATAATAATAATTATTATTATTATTATAAATGGTAAGGAAAAAGAAATACTCACCATGATTAATTATTTGAGTCTAAGAGACGAATTGTGTGTTTGTGTGTATATATATATAGAGATATTTTCTTGCAGGTGAAAGGAGGAGTCGATGGCTGTTACTCTCTCGACAGTAACGAGTCGATGTAAGTAACCGAATGATGGCTGCGGGCAGGTGGCGCCCCTTATATAACCACCGAGGGGGGGCGGGGTTTGGGCGGCGTGCCGCCACGCCATTGGTCAAGCCTGGCCGGGGAGGCGGGCCGTCAGTCTGCCCCGGGCCCCGGCCCCGCCCCCACCACCGCCCTCTCCCGACCGCTGGCGCGGGCCGTCAATCACCGGCGGGCTGCCAATCACCGGGCCTGGTGCGCGTGCGCCCTTGGCGCGCGTGCGGCGGATTCAAAGCGCAACGGCTTTTAACGGTCGCCCGCGCCGCGCGCGCCAAAAAAAAAAAATCGTGAGGGAGGAGAAGCTCCAAAATGGCGTCTGTCGCTTCCCCCTCTCCCTCCCCCCTCCCCACCCTCTTCCAACTGTAGAGCCAAGTGGTTCTTGCTGCCTCTCACACTCTCCTGAGGCGGAACTACGTAAGTCTATTATGTCTAGTTTTATTATATACAAATAAATCCACACACACACACATATATATATATATATATATATATAGTTCTCACCCCCTAAATGCACTGTGTGTAAAAAAAAATTGTCAAATTCCTCCTGTGCCAAACGCCACCGAGTGGTAAGTGTTTGATGTCATTAAAATGTTAATTTTTTTTTAAAAAAACATAACATTTGGATTATGTCTCGACTTGTTTTTAAAAAGAAACGCGTTACGTTGTAGGGAGGGGGAAGGGGAGCCCCCCAAAAAAGAACCAGTTCCACCTGCTTATTAGGTCTAGTTTTATATATAATAATACATACAACGTTTTATATATTTATTTTTAAAAAAGCAGTAAAACGGTTCCCTCCCCCCCCCATGTCAATTTCCTCCTGATTCAAACACCACAGAATGGGGAAAGGGGGGGGGGGGTGAAAAGCAAATAAAAATAGCCAGTTCCACCCGCTTATTCACTTCACAATTCATTAATTCGAGATTCAACATCTTTTGTATTTTTTTAATATATCTATATATATATTTTTTTAAAAAAAGAGGAAAAAGGTTGTTGCTCTGTGGGTTAGATTTGCAGGAATTTAATACCCTCTCAACTCCCCACCCCACCCGCATCCGCCAGTATTTTGAACACCAGCTGAAAACCGAAGGCATTCATTCACTCCCCAGTTATTGCTGAGCATTTTGGTTTCAGACGCAAACCCAACACACTTTAGTCGTAAATCATGGAACCGACCCTCCTCCACAGCCTCTCCCAACCTTGCATTTGTGTTTTATTGTACCCATTTAGAAAATTATTTTAACCCACCCCCCACTGGCTCTTCTGAATAAATCAAAGGATTTTTTTTCACACCCACACAGACAACTGCAGACAACTGCAGCAGGGGCGTTGAAGAGCAAGTGGTGTGGTTTAAAGATATATATATATATATTTTAAAAATCATCAATTGTGCAATGAACTCCCATCGCATTCTCTAAACCTGTGGTTAAGGATTCACCAGTAGATGTTTTAAACCTTGACCCTGAATATTATAGTGAATAAGCCATACTACCTGCTGTAATTAAAGGTGGGGTTTGTTAATTATTCCCTGTTTTAATAAATAGTAATCCTTGCATTTGATATTGTGACTTGTCACGTCTCCGAGACGCCTCAAAGTGCTTCACAGAATTTACTGTAAAATGAATATATTTTGTGGGCAAAATGCTGCATAAGACATTGCACTAAACTAAGAGCACTAAACTGCCTCTGGAAAAAAATGATTATCTACAACAACAACTTGTGTTTATATAGCATCCATCACGCTAGACGGCGTCTCTAGGTGTTTAAAACACACAGGCTAGAATTGATGTGTGGTTTACATAAACATTTCAGAGAGCAGGTACTAATGGTTTTATATATACCAGTACTGACAGATGGTGGCGATATTTGCACGAGTCAGAGGATGAGGCCTTAACAGCTGATTTATTTTCTACTTTCTGAGTTGGTGTATACTAAAGCATAACCTCACATAAGCTACGGAACTAAAACTGAGCCGAACACCCCCCATCCTCACCCGGCTCCACTGACTCCCCAGCGGATCCCCCAGGGCTTCAATGATACACAAAGGTTTGCAGCATATGTGAGCTAAAGTTGTGTGTTTGTGATGTTCCCTTGTCAAATAACAGTGATTGAATCCCAGAAGAAGCTGCTCCCAGCTATGTTGTAGTATATTGGTTAGAGCTTCGCCTCGCAAGTGAGAGGGCCGGGGTTTGATTCCCAGGGGCAATATCCCATCAAAAACATTTTTTTAATAATAATTTGGTCACTCAATCCACAACTGTTTGTGGGACAAAGCAGTGCACAATTGGCTGCCGTGTTTGGTCCACAAAATGGCTTTAAAGTGCTTTAAGATGTCTCGAAGACTTGATTAGGGGCTTTGTGAAATGCAAGGATTATTATTATTATTCACTGTGATGATATCAAGACATTTGAGTCCATGTGGCCTCTGGAGGCCTCATAAAGCAGAGGCTATATGTTGCGAGTCCAAAATTCTTTTTCTGCAATGTAAATGGGAAAGTCCTCACATACGTGCCTGTTGGCAAGTACAGCAATTCCCAACTGGAGAAATAACCAACCCCCTGAAACTGTCACGATTATGAGGGCACCACTATAAGTTCTACTGATGATCACATTTTTAATTAACAGGAGAGGAGAGTCTGTATTCAGTGGAACGTTAACCAGATAGGAATCCATCAACTAAACCACAGTCTTAGGAATCCACACGCCCAGACATCTGTTTTGTCTAAAAATAAATGAGATGATTTCTCAAATACGAACAGAGTTCTTTAACACGTCATCTTTACCAAGTGTAACATATATCTCAGTATTTCATCACTTAAAAAAAAGTTACAGCACTTTACTTTTTACTGTACTTAATACATATTACCTATTAAGCTCTTTGAGATATTTCAAAATGATAGTCATAAAAAAAATTCCAAGTTGTTTCTTAAATCAACATTCTAGATTATTTTATTAGCATTTGCTGGTGCGTAACTTGGGCAAATAAAGATTGGATGTAGAAAGTGCATGTTACGTCTGACTGAAACTCATGTTCTTTTGTCAGCATTTTCCTAAACAGACCAAGGAAATCTAGCTTGCTAGCTGCAATTGTGATTACAAACCGTTGCTGGACACGATAAAAGGGCAGAGTTTTTTTAATGGAAAGTCCTTTGGTAATGCTCCTTTAACCCTGCTGTGTTTGTGTGTGTGTGTGTGTGTGCGCGCGCGCGTAATGAGATCCAACATAGTAGTGATACCAGGATCTCAGGAATCCAATGTGTGAGGTTCAGGGATATGCTTTGGCTTAAGAAACTAAAAATATGTGGTTGTTGTCAAATTCTATAGGCATTGCTATGTCAAGATTGTGCAGAAATAGAAACATAATCAAGGGGAATAGAGGCATTGAGTCATGTGCGGATCATCCCAACCCTCAAATTACGTTACTGCCTTCAAAATCTTCCTACTTACACATTTATGAGCTAAAATTAAATTGCTAAATGAGTTACAAGTTAAATTTCAATTCTGTGAATTGAACACAGAGGGAAATATGAATTACGTCTGAAATTTGCATCAAATGTACCAGTGTACAGGTCAGGGCGGGGGTTAAAGATCCAGTGTCACCTTGAATCCAAACTGACTTGTGCTTTCCCTCCACTCAGTTGGCTCTGGCCTGTCCATGTCACTCTCCTGAACTCCAACCCACAGTCCCTCTGCCTCGCCGCCACCCTTGCCTCCTAAAGACCCATCTCAAGACCCTCCTTCATATGACACACGGCAGTAAGTGTTGCCTGGTTAGTCATCCATGAGGAACTTCAATGTGAACCAATCCGTTAAAAGTTGTATTTCCAGTATGTGTGTGTGGGGTGGGGGGAGAGGTCTCCAGATAGTAAGAAGGAACAGGAACTCTTCAACTTATTTTCCAATAACTTACGCAGGGGAGCTAACCGATTGTAATGGCCCAATTGAGCTGGAGCACGGATGGAACTGCAATCTTCTGTTCCTTAATAGCTTGGTGTACTTTTTACAGCATTTTGGACCATTTGGCCCGTCTTCTGACCGGTTCCAGTGAAAGTCGAGGTTTCTCATTTAAAACTGCAAGGTAGAATGCCAAACCAGAGATAGACAGGGATCAGATTTATTAACAAACAAAGACAGATTGAACATATGGATTTGGTACTTGTATTTCTGCGTGCAAACTTTCATTTTACACATACACTGCTACACTCACGATATTTGATATATATGTCAACTGAAATTCAATCTCACATCTGTTGAACACTGAAATAAATAAGTTACTGAGTGACCAATTATGAAAATCCAGCTGGGATTCAATTGAGTGTATTTGTTGCAATACATCAGACTGGACCATTTTGGTGACCGAGCTATACCTCAATCTAATAAACATTGGTTGTGATAACGGGCGTGTGTGTGTGGGGGGGAATTGCCACAGTATTCCACAAAATAATTGCATTAAATTTTGTAAATGCGGATTTACCATTTCTGGACTAAAATAAGGCAAGCCAAGATGCTAATTGACATGGCTCACAAAGGATAAATTTGGTTTACTAACAATCCCTCGTTACACAAGGTGGAGTGTCTCCTGATGCAATTCAGAATGCAATTACACCATTTTCACGGTGTAACTTTAGAAAGGTAACTAACTGATGGCTTACAAAGGTTTGCAAATGTATTGAGGACAATGGAACTCTTTGCAAGTTATTTTAAGAAGTAGTGCAAACCTACTTACTGTCAACCCCTATGTTAATTTTAGCCGCAAGTGACTCTTTGGAGTAGTTTGAAGCTAAAATTAGCAAGAGGTTGGGGGTAAACAACAACAACAAGAAGATTCCATTTATTGAGCGCCTTTCACGTCGGGAGGACGTCCCAAGGCGCTGTACAGTTGAATCAGGACCCGAGCAAGGGGGAAATGGTCAGGGTGAGGGGAGGGAAGGGAGGGAGCGAGGAGGGGGTAGAGAGGGGAGCTGAAGGCTCGGTCAAAGAGAATTTGGAATTAAGACCTTAACTTTGGAATTAGAAAGAATTTACGTAAATCTTCTCTGAATTTGGCCTGAGGCTGATACTGAAAATGCTGAAAACAATATTATCATATACATTAGTGCCAAGAGAGAAATTTATAAGTGAACTTGAGATGAGAACCAAACAAGTTTGCTTTGCCGCAGACTACTACATGGCACTAAGCATTGGCATTTCCTCTAATTTCATTTGTCTGCTTCTCACCTCTCAGGAGAAATTTGAGCTGGGTCTAGCTTTACTCTACTTATGTATTATTTTGTGAATTTAGCAAAACCTTAAATATAGCCAGAATTTTGATGTTGGTTTTCTGAGTTATTTTAAGAAGTACAAAACAAGAACTGAATGAATTCAACATTTGGCAATTCTGGATGCTCTAAAATGCTACATAAGAGTAAATCCAGAACAGGGTGCATTTTCTTCCTTCACATCATTTAATACTGCTTCCCAACTATGAATCTATGTCTTTCTTGAATCCTTCAATCAATTTCTCAACTATAGCTTTTCAAATCAGTGCATTTAGAAACTTGTATGATTGCTGATCCTAGCTTGGCAATGTTGCTCTGGGATTATATTGAAAGACTTTTTCAGTGTTTGAAGAATGTTACCCTAGGATGAGAATGAATGGATTCCTGCAAACTTAGACCTGAGGAATGATTCCATGGCCTCAATAGATGACCTTCGAAACAAGAGTATAGATGTTTCCAGAAACTTGGAATGAGATGAATAGTTTATCTTATCTGAATGAATGTATTAATACTGCTGGATAAATATGAGTGGTGGTGATGGCCAATGATAACAGTGACTAGAGCCCCTATCAGGCTAATAATCTAGTGTGAAAGAATGAAAGTAGTCGTAAGAAATTGGAAGCACGAAGCACCATTGCAAAATGAATCGTAGCACAAACCAACAGTATAATTTGGGATAGTGTCCTATACGTATGTTAATTCCACAGGTCACAAATGACTAATTCTATATGGCAGTAAGTCTTCTACAATTGTACACCTGGTCCACCAAACAAAACTTATGTAGATGTGGTCAGTTGCAGTAACTGTCTTAAGATTAAAATTACCAGTCAAGGACTCTCTGGAAATGGGACGTTTGACCACAAGTCTATTTCCTTGGCTAGGAACCTCCTTCTCACTCTTCATTATAACATTTTAAAAGTTGTTTGAATGTGAACTTTTATTCTTGAGTTTTCACTACAATAAGGGACATGCCACTGTTGGTCCCGCTGCAGTCCTATGAGCAACTTTTCATGTAATTTGATGAAAACATTGGAAAGGCCATCTAAATGTGTTTGAAGGTTAGGATCAATATCCCACAACTCTCTGTGGTAGTGTGTTAGAATACCAATTTGCAATTAAATAGCACCATTCCTAGAGAATAAATGTCTTAAGAAAAGGAAGAGTTTGAGGATGGTGACCAAAGGTATAGTTAGAAATGTTTTTAAGAACTTTGAAGACACGGATAGGATGCAAGGCAAAGAGATTTTGGGGAGAGGAAAAGAGTTGAGGGCCCGGACGCAAAGTGTCTGAACGCTCAAGATCCGAGTTGGAGGAATGGAAGGTACAGGTAAGTGAAGTGGAATTCCTGGAATGAATATGCTTCTGTTTTTAATTGGGCCCATATCTTCAATTTGAATTTGTTTCAATATAATCTTCAACATATACCGGGGCAATGATTAGATAACTGTAAAGCTCAGTTTTTAGGAATATTCTTTATGCAAAAAGATATGTAGGCCTAAGAGGTTCTGGGACCGTATGCAGGTTGAGGTTTCCAACCTTTTGGCCACCGAGGGCTGGGTGCTTTATTTGAGAAACATCCAAAGTTTCTCAAAAATTTGGATGTTTCTCAAATCATAGGGCTGCACAAGCAATATTTTTGAGTTTCCCTTCCAGAAATATAATATTTACGGGTTATCGAGGGAGCAGGTGGGCCAAATGAAATGGAGGAAAGGAGGGGCCAGATGTGTCCCGTGGGCCGCCAGTTGGATTACGCTGTGCTAAAGGAGGAAGTACTCCAACCCCTACTCTAGATACTGTTGATTGGGGGCTGGGGGTTGTGCTGAGCCATTTATCTGTTGCAATCAGTTAGTTTTTTTTGCTCCATCTCCATCCAACACTTTACAGTATATTCTGTGAAGCGCTTTGAGACGTCTCAAAGACATGATAAGGCGCTACATCAGATGCAAGGATTATTATCATTAAAGATATCCAATGTGGCTTTCAATAGCTTTTTTTTAAAAAGAAAATCTACACTCGAATTGTGAGGAATTGCAACTCAATGGAATCTTAAAAGTATGATCTTTTAGGTGTAATTGGAAAAAGAGGGTGTGAATCACATAGCACGTGAGTTGCTTGAGAATTAACAGGTTGAAAGACAATTTTAACCTGCTCACCCTCTGTTATCCTCTTGCTGCCCGTTAATGCAGAACTTGTAAGGTTTGCACTTTGTTCCATATTTCGCTTCCCTGTTCCAGCAATACCCTATTTTTGACTTTAGCAAAACATTTAATACTCTTCCCCTTCCTCTTCACCTTCTCCTTCAACGGAGTCAACACCAACTTCTTCATAATCTTTCTCCAGAGCAGCCATATCCTCCCGAGCCTCGGAGAACTCGCCTTCCTCCATACCCTCACCCACGTACCAGTGAACGAACGCACGCTTGGCGTACATCAGATCAAACTTGTGGTCCAGGCGAGCCCAGGCCTCAGCAATAGCTGTGGTGTTGCTCAGCATACACACAGCCCGCTGCACCTTGGCTAAGTCACCTCCAGGAACCACAGTGGGAGGTTGGTAGTTGATGCCAACCTTGAAGCCAGTCGGGCACCAGTCCACAAACTGGATGCTCCGTTTGGTCTTGATGGTGGCAATGGCTGCATTAACATCTTTTGGCACCACATCACCGCGGTAAAGGAGACAGCAGGCCATGTACTTGCCGTGCCGTGGGTCACATTTGACCATCTGGTTGGCTGGCTCAAAGCAGGCATTGGTTATTTCAGACACAGAAAGCTGCTCATGATAGGCTTTCTCAGCTGAGATAACAGGTGCATAGGTGGCCAGTGGGAAGTGGATACGGGGGTATGGCACCAAATTGGTCTGGAATTCAGTCAGATCAACATTCAGGGCACCATCAAAACGGAGGGAGGCTGTGATAGAGGATACAATCTGACCAATTAATCTGTTCAGGTTGGTGTAAGTTGGTCTGTCAATGTCCAGGTTTCTTCGGCAGATATCATAAATGGCTTCATTGTCTACCATGAAGGCACAGTCAGAGTGCTCTAGGGTAGTGTGGGTGGTTAGGATGGAGTTGTAGGGCTCGACCACTGCAGTAGACACCTGTGGGGCTGGGTAGATGGAGAACTCCAGCTTAGATTTCTTGCCATAGTCAACTGAGAGACGCTCCATCAGCAGTGAGGTGAACCCTGAGCCAGTGCCACCACCAAAGCTGTGGAAAACCAGGAATCCCTGGAGACCTGTGCACTGGTCAGCCTGTCAAACAAAACAAGAGGAAAAAAATACACTGATTAATGCCAAATCCTCCCCAACACTTCCACACTATCCATCACTCTACAGGTTAAGTCTCAAGAAACCTACCAGTTTACGGACTCTGTCCAGGACCAGATCAATGATCTCTTTGCCAATTGTGTAGTGGCCACGGGCATAATTGTTGGCAGCATCTTCCTTCCCAGTGATGAGCTGTTCAGGGTGGAACAGTTGACGGTAGGTGCCATTACGAACCTCATCTGCAAAAGAAGAGCAGAAAATGAAGATAATTAAGCAATAAGCACATCACTCATGAACTACTATACAAAAAATTGTATGTAACGAAATAGGTGATGTATACCTATGACAGTTGGCTCCAAGTCCACAAACACAGCCCTGGGGACATGTTTGCCGGCTCCTGTCTCGCTGAAGAAGGTGTTGAAGGAGTCATCTCCTCCTCCGATGGTCTTTTCACTGGGCATCTGTCCATTAGGCTGGATTCCATGTTCGAGACAGTACAGCTCCCAACAGGCATTGCCAATCTGCACACCAGCCTGACCCACGTGGATACTGATACACTCTCGCTGTGAAGCGGGAAGAAAAAAAAACAATTGATGAATTTGCCAATATTGCCAGCTACTTGCAATTTACAATCTGTTGCACCTCTTGCCCCCAATCCCAATCTTCTCCTCACCCAACATTCATACTTGCATCTTCCAGTGGAGGTCAGTCATTGCATTGACAATCGTCTCTAAGGCGGCCAGACTGATTCTCATGCACTTCTTGCCGCCCTGGCTGATAACGGACCTGAGACCCAGCCAGTCTAGATTAGGCTATTACATACTGATACAGTATTTACTAGCGGGGTAGCTCCCAGAAGAGTATCCCTTATGTTCCTCGATTAATATTGGTGTGATTTAATTTACTGTTGGAAATTCCAAGTCATTTTCAAATTCAAAGAAATTAGTGAAAAAACAAGTGCATTGTGCTATAGCCAACTGTCATAGCTATTTTTGCAAATTGTAAAAAAAAATCACAGATTTGCAAATTAAAGTGACAAATCAATGGAAATTGGACCTCCATCGCCTGAACTTAAATTAGAGATTCAGAAATTCAATCGGGTTGATCGACCTTTTCTGTGGTAAAATGGAAATTCTGATAATGGTTGAACTGTATTTTACACACTTGATCATATTGATTTATAAGCGTTGAATCCTACCAACACTGATGTTTCGCCCAGTTGATGTATCACAGTTTGTTTTGTTCGTGGTATTATTAGTTTTGCCCACAAAAGTTCACTTTACAATATATTCTGTGAAGTGTTTTGAGACCTCTCAACGATGTGATAAGGCGCTGTATCAACTGCAAGGCATATTACTATTTTTTGCCAACAGTACTCCATATGTTTAAGCCTTTAAAAGGGACGTAGCGTGAATTCTGTATTTAACTGGTACCCACAATATAGACATAGTATTGAATGTGAATGCCCTTTCGCTATCCCAGTTCTGGAATGCCTCACCCCACTTTTAGTTCACAAGATGAATCTTGCTTTAAAACAGTGTCATGTTGGCAGCTGTGGCTTTTTGCAATGGCAGCAGGGGTTAGTTAGGCGGAGACTGTCAGATCCACTGGGCTGTAAAACTGCTCATTCATCCATGCTGCATTGTGTCTGGGCTGAATAACGCACAATATTCATGCTTTTGGGTGGGGTTTTGCTGCACTGCGGACTGACTTGACTGCATCCTCCCTCCCGCACGCATACACAAAACACTCACCACCATTCACATAGACTAGAGCCCATCCTTATTATTGTCTTGTGTGCTACAAAAGGAAAATTAAATCATTTTCTCCAGCCTTCACAATTTTTCTTTTTTTTTTCCTTTCCAGAAGAGAAGACGGGTCATCTTTTTAATGCAATTGGAATCCCTCCGCCTCGGGAACGCAGTACCAAACAGTACAATGTGCATTTTTCAGTGACCTAGTTTTAACTCTGGCTTTGATCCCTGCCCAACTGCTAACAATGTAGACAGGAACTGGTAAGAGCACTGTGGGGATTTGCATCTCTAACAGAATGGGTGAAGTGATCGAATCTGCACATTTTATCACATTTTCCCCCACAACCTTTTGCCCACAACCCACCTTACAGTGCATCCTGTGAAGCACTCTCGAGATGTCTCGATGACACGATGAGGCGCTATATCAAATGCAAGCGTTATTATAACCCGGACACCAGAACCAGATCTCAAAACCTTAACGAAATGCCATTGTTTAATGTAAAGCCAAGAAGTGCGGTGGTGGGGGTGGGGGGGGTCCTGAAGATTTAACTCAATAATTCGGCTCCTCTGAGCAAAGCTAAACCAACCATCACTGCCATTCCCTGCTGTCCAACGTCAGTCACATCTCAAAATATTTTTAAGAATATTTCTGATAGTTTTTGCTCTTGTTAAATCCCACACACACACACACACACAGGTTTGATTGCAGACGGTTTTTGCCAATGGGCAGAGCCATTTGGACCCGTTACACACCTTCACCTCAAGTTGACAGTCAACATCAATCGCTGTGAATTAAAACGGCGTCAAACATCCGCGCAGCTCTTTTGCCACAAACCACAGCACAAACCGACAGTATTAAAACGATATGCTCGGCGGGTTTTTAAGGGGAAGACGAATCGCATTGGGTTTTTACTCTGGACAGAGTCTCGATGTGGGCGAGGGGGGTGGGGGGTGGGGGGGGGGGGTTGCAACGCCAAATAACTTTTTTGTTTATTCGCTCTAAGGTTTCCTCTGTAACCCACCGCCCCTTTCACGAGTTGGTAAAAAAAAATGCAATAAGCATCTTGTCGGGGTTTTTCATGCACAAGTATAGTCCTGAGAAAGAATTAAATCAGTGATTGATGCTTTCCCCCCCACCCACCCACCCCCCCCCCCCACCCCAACCCACCCCCACCACCACCGCCACTCAAACTCAGGTTAACCAAACGATTAACGTTACAGCGCTCCAACTGCTATCCACACACGTGTCGACTTCACTTCCAAAGCCGTCCAGAGGAATGGCCTTTGGACTTACCATCGTGTCTGCTCGAACCCTGGCGGGTGGACAGTGGACAAGTGGAATAGAAAGAGAAGGAGAAGCCTTGAGGGAGGGGGTGGGGGGTGGGGGAGGAAGTCTTCTTCCTACAGCGCGACTTTAACGGGTCGTCGTAAGAAAGAACCTGAGGATCGTCCTCCCGACAGATGCTCTTATACCGGGGTTTGGACTCCCGTCAGTACAGCGGAGTCCCGGTGCTGATTGGAAGAGGCGGTGGATTGACGTTGGGCACAGCCTTCCACAGCGAGAAATCGTTCTCCAGACACCAAAGACCTGTCCAGATATCGTGGGGTGGGCGTCAATCAGCTCTTGTTTGTGCCCTTCCTCACACACAGGACTGATACTGTATGCGATAGAATACCATTATACAGTAAAATCAGAGCTAACGTTCCGATTTTTTGGGGAGTAAATTCATGTTTCTGATTTTATACGTATATTTATATATATATATATTCATTTTTCTGATACCAATGAACCACAACATTGTTTTTTTTTAAACATAGTACTGTTTTACGTTAATTCGGTTTAATTTTTTTTAGGTACGATTTAAGCAGTTTGGAGGCTACGTCACATATTTTAACATTTTACGATGTGTATTGTGTCTTTTAACATTTTACACTATATGTGACCATGTTTTGCAAGGTGAATCGCTGAAATATACCCTTTCAACCATTAGAAATCAAATGCATCTAAGTGCATTTGTATTAAAAAACAATTGCTTTATATATATTTTAAAAAATTGGGGGGGGGGGGCAATATTGCCCACCACATTTCCCTGTGAATAAAGAGGGACACCTACCCAAATCATTCATTCCTCTGAGATAATAGACTGGGTTTCAAGGGAACAAATCACTTGGAATAATTAAACCAGATATATTTGGGTAATATGGATTTGAATTTTAAAATATGATGGTGAAAATCTAATTTTGTTCAGAGGTATCAGAAACATGAATATCAAAGGTCCATTGTAATGTCTCTCAGTGTTGGATCGATGTTTGCTGGAGACACTATAAACATTACAAAGGCATTACATCTTTGCCCAGATCTCATGCTGTCAGACGCGTCTCTCTTTGGCGACCCCACCCTTTGCTGTAAGGATAAATACAGCGGCAGAACTAACAACCCATCTTTGTTCAAACGCTATTTAAAGGCTTTATATATCAGAAAACGGTTTTGTGAAGTGTGTGTGTAGGGGGGGTGGGGGAATAAATACCTATTTATTAATAAATAATTGGTTACACTATTCTTTAATTATATTTCTATGTTTTAAAATATTCCTGTACCACTCTAAATCACATTATTACTTGCAACATTTAAGCCACAAATATTTTGGTGTTAAATATGCATTTGAATATTAAATAATAAATCGCATTATTACGGGAACAATGATCCTTGCATTTGACACTCGATAGCACCTTTCACATCAGGAGGAGGTCCCAAAGTGCTTCACAGGATTTATTGTAAAGTGTAGTGACCGTATTTTGTACGTGAACGCCTATGCGATAACTAAGGACAGCACATTTCATTAATTGAGCAACAAAATACAGTAGCAATCAAGACCTCAATACAGTTTTATCAACAAGCAAGTTCTCTACTTGATAGAGGTCATATACCAGAGTAAGATGATGATGATAGATTGATTTGGTGCCTGTTACAATGCGGATTATTGCCGTAAAGTTATTTGAAACCAGAGATGTGTCCCTTGTAAACGCACTCTAATTATCTTTTTCACAGAATGTACATGAAAAAAGTTTCTGTTCACTTGAAGTGAAAGAGCAATTTTAATGGACAGCTGGTACCCGCGATTGTAACATGATTCACACTGAAATGTGTTGATTGCGATGTGTTGCAATGTGTTAATTGCAGATCCTGCAGTAACATTGGAGCTCCTACAAATACTGCAGCACATTTTCCTCTCCAAGTCTCCCACGCCACACCTTTCCTGAAGATGAAGAGCTCAGGCTCTTATCAGGTATCTGAGGAGTGGATATTCTCCCAACTATGAACCTAGACCCTGACTGTCAGTGGGAGGGCGAAAGGGAAATGCACTTGCCTGGGTTCGATTCCTAGGCAGGTTTTGTAACTCTACACGCCTCCGTTTATCTAACAGTAAGTAGGAACCCGGTTGTTAGTTGACTGTTGGATTGTTTGCGTGTGATATAGCGTGTTATGTAGTGAAGACGTCTCAAAGCGTCACAGAATATATTGGGTGAAACACGGCAGCCAATTACACACAGTAATATCCCACAAACGGTCATCGATTGAGTGACCACATTTTTTTTGTTGAAGGGATTATTACCCCCAGAAAGTCATCCGCCAATCGACTTAACAACCGGGTTCCTACTTGCTGCTGGGTGAACAGAGGCATGTTGGAGTGAAACTTGCCTAAGGTTTCGTCCCGAGTGGGATTTGAACCCGGGGCCTTTCGCTTGCGAGGCGAGCGCACTAACCACTGCGCTGCAGGACTCCAGACAACAACAACAAATTGAATTTATATAGAGTCAGTTGCACAGACACTGGCAACCAGGTGGCAGCAACCTTCCAGTAGTTCAACCAAGGTCCGTGCTTTGTGCGTTAGCCCAGACAGTGAATGACAGCAGGCGTATCCGTCACAGGGCAGGGTCACAGCTGAGCCCCATCCTGGCCTCACCCACTCGCTCAATATGCACACTCAAGCTCTTGTCAAAAGTGGGGGGTAGGGCAAGAGCTCTGCATAGTGTTCAAGTGATAGGAAGCTGGCTGATTTCCCCTCCCCCCCCTTACCTGGGACACACTGACACATTAACCACCCCCCTACCACCCACTCACCATCTGCTTCTCGCCAGCTGAAATCAGCTAACTTAGCATAGATAATGGTTGAACCTGGGACCTTCCTCGTCTCTGCATCTTAGCAGTACACCAGGGAAATGCAATCAATCTGAGATGCAGTTTTTTATTCAAATGTATATTTCGCTGTGCTCCTCTGCTCTCTAATCCCATTGTATGGTGACTCACATTGCTGACTCTGCCTTGGAGCAGAGAGAGAGAGAGAGACAGATCAATAACTGCTGAGACTGAATGCATGAAGTAGACAAGTAGTTAACAGGCAGTGCTGTTTTATTGGATGTGCATAATGCTAAAATATGTTTAAAAAAAAGCCTCCCCATCTCTGACCTGTGGTTATTTTCCAATATTCTCAGTCGCCCGGTGCTAATAACCCCAATTTCTCCACAGCCCCTTGCAGTCCGACATGAGAGAAAAAAATAATTACGTTGGTTCGATCAATTCTTAGATACCGGTTGCTAGGAGATGAATAGGTCTGTTGCTGTGGAGACCACAGTGAATTCCCCCGGGTGCCGTAAGCTCCCTCCATCACATCTGATCACGCGACTCTTAAAATCCATAAAATTGTGACAGCATTTGCAATTCAATTTTCAGCTTCCCCTTGTCGTCGTTTATTTTACCCTCCCCCCACCGCACCTAACTGAGGAAAGCCTTTGAGAGAGAATAGAAAAGACGCTGAGCGTATAATAAATTCTCCTGCCCCTGCTGCATTGGACCGGCAGGGTGTGGCCATTCAAGATGGCTTCCCTTTTCTTCTGGGGGAGGCATTGATTTCAGACCCTCTCCCTTTAAATTAAAGTTTTCTCCTTTTCTCCTCTCCTAGAGGCGATCGTTTGACCAGAGGGTTGTGAGAATCGACTCTTCCCCAGAAAGGTGCACAGACTGTTTCAAAAAGACAGGCAGGTAGTTACACGTTTTGCAAGTCAATTAATTAAGATAATCTTTGCGCTTGATATCATGCCTTTCACAGCGTGAGGATGTCTCAAAGCGCTTCACAGGATTTACTGTACAGTGCGATGATTGGGCATTTTATAAAACAATGTAGGCATTTTGTGCACCGCAACGTCCTACAAACAACTATGAAGTGATATGTGGAATTCTCAGAAGCCAGAACTTCGGGAGAAACTCCCTTTTTTGAATAGCGCCACGGGATGTTTAACATCCATCTGAACCAGTTAACGGTGAGATCACCAGTGATAAAAATTATCACATTCCGTTGAATTTCTCACTCCTATGAGAGCAAAATTGTTTGAACACAGAGGCTAATGTATGTAATGATGTATGTGATAATTTCTGCTAGTAAGTAGGATGTTATTTGAGCCACATCTCAGCATTTACTGTGGTCCTGAGTAGCAGCTGACTCACAGATAGACACCTTGCCTCCTGCCGTTAATGTCTGTCCCTGTAATTCAATGAGGTTGTAGAATTGGTTTGATGGAGCCTCTGTACCAACTGGTGGGCGGCAGTGAGCAATAATGCATATACAGCATGTGAATTTAATAATAAAAAATAATCCTTGCATTTTACTACAGCGCCTTATCACATTGTGGAGATATCTCAAAATGCTTCACAGAATATACTGTAAAGTGAATTGATTGAATATTTTGACCGTGCCTTCGGTCACCCTCCCACCCTCACCTCCTCAATCTTCCACCCCTCTTAATTCTAATACCCAGCTCAGGTGCAAACCCTTAACTGTCCTGAGCCTTGGGACGTTCTTCCAACGTAAAAGCTGCTGTAGAAATATAGTTTTTTGTGTTTTATATTCATCAATACTCAGAAATGTACAAGAAAATACCCCAAATATATTGAAGTTGTTTTAAATACTGTTCTCCATGTGCATATAAGGAGTGCGGGTTTGGAATTGTTGGTTCCAGGCAGTGACTTCTCATTCGGGCACCTGTCTCCACACATGCTCTTTGGTACAAGTTTGCCAAATCTCGCACAATGCTGTCTGTGTCGCGTGGGGCAAGTTTAGGATGGATGCCAGAAAGGGGTTTCATTTACAGAAGAAAATGAACAACTGCAAAGTGTGAAAATGAAAGAGCGATGGTTGAGGCAAGGACATTGGGTCTCATGTAAGAATAATAATAATCCTTGCATTTGACACAGCGCATTATCACATCATTAGGACATCACAAAGAGCTTTACATAGTACATTGTAAAGTGGATTGACTGT